TACGTTCGTTCCTACCTACTACTCGTTCTCTACGTCGTCGTCGTCGTGTGTCGTCGTCTTCGTCGTACGTCGTACTTCTTCTCTCGTCGTACGTACGTACGTACGTACGTCTCTCTCTCTCTCTCTCTCTCTCTCTCTCTCTCTCTCTCTCTCTCTCTCTCCCATTTGTGCTTTGAGATTCCTTTGGTAACACACTGGGTTAGTGAAATTTTTCTGGTTCTTTGTGTTGAATGATTGAAGCTGATGTTAGAGCGCATTTGCTTTAAATTGCGTAGTTTTACTCTAAATTGTCTGTGATAAATAAAGGTGATTAATTGAATTTTGCTATATTCTAGTAAAACTTATGGGTTTACGTTTCCTGCTTCTAATTCCTTGGGGATATTATTGTTAGTTTTACACTGTACGAGTCTGCTTTGTGCATGACTGGCTTGTACTTAGTTAAATTGATACAAGTTAAATTGATACATATTCTTCCCAAGATTAAGTTTTTCTTGATGACTTTAAAAGCATCAATTTGGGGAAATTATTAGAAGCTTCAAAGTTGGACTAAAAAGGGGAGGACCTTAAACTTTCCCTTAACCAGCCCCAAACTCGGGTAAAGGAGGTGGATTGCGATAGGTAGGCAGCCATTGTAAAATTTTGCCCCATCCTACCATAAATCATGAACCCATATTATTGGCCCTTCATAGAGAAGAATGGAGAAATATGATTCATGTAGCCGGCCCTAAATAATTAGAATAACTTGGAGTTTTTTTTTTTCCTTTTTTTTTTGACTTTTTAATCAAAGTTTTGTTGGCCGTATACTTGGTTATATATGGGAATAGGCTTTTTTCTCTTCTCTTTTTTTTTTGAATAGTATATATATGAGAATAGAATCTTGGAATTCAAATGTGGAGTTTGGATTTTTTATCAAAATTCAGTTGAACCATTCACTTTCTTATATCCGGAGTTTGCTCATGGGAATTGGAATGGGATTTTGGGTTTTAGCCAAATTTCAGTCCCTCTAGTTATTGTAGTATTGCATTTCTATAGGACATCTTAGCTCCTACTTGTTTATGTTTTAGAGGAATTTGTAGCAATGGCCTTCATAATAGCAGCCATGAGTCCTTAGCTGTGAAGACCACTCAAGAATGAGATAGGTATTTATATGAAACATGTTTCTACATGATATGATGGTAGCTTTGCCACGGCCTCCTTTTTCGTTATCATATCATATCATACCATCAGGTCATTATCGTTATCATCATAATCTTCTTCTCTTTTTTAGTTAATGGTGATAACAATGCTTCCTTGCCTTGAGATGGTCTGGTTTCAGTGTGTTCCCTGATTCACCCATTCTCATGCATACACTATCCTAGTCCATCGTGGAGATGGATTTTGGATCCAAAACTTTATGGGTTTATCATCTCAACTACCACGATCTTGAATCTAAAGGAGAGAAAAAAAAGTTTTTTTTTTTTAGTGCTGAAAATGGTCCATCTTCTTCCCTTTTCTTGGTTGTTCATTTCAATTGTTCGGAGATCATCAAATCTACACTGTTTTTGGAGGTCCAAATTCATGGATATGAGGTGTAAAAGTTGTGATTTAAAATGTGTTTGGGTCTTAAGACCCTTGAAAATCAACGCTGATGCACAAGTCGGCAGACTCATTGAGAACTTTTCAACTGAAGATAGATAGTATAGAGGACCTGGTTCCCCAGTATATCTCTATTTAGGAAAGTATAACATATAGGCTATGTATGGTGTATGATACACAGGTGGGAAATCCACCATCTGTGCTCAAACAATATAAAGATTAACCATACCAGGGTGGTATAGAGAAATACTATTGATCTCCACTGATGAGAACAGAGGTTGGATGTCCCAGCCATGCATCCTATAACATACACAACCTGTATCCTTTACTTTCGATATCTATTTTCCATGTTGCATATGATGAGAAATATAAAAGCCTGTAGTGTAATTTCAATGTTATTTAGCATATTTTAAGGAAAGGTAAAGTACTTGCTGTGTTTTTTCTCTCATACATCCAGCTGACTTCTCTCTTCTGTGCATTTTTACCCAGTGCCTGTTTGACGTTTTTTAGATTTAATTTAGAAGTTCTTTTAGAACTAATTTTTCCATATTTGCATGAGTTCTTATTTGTCTCGACAGCAATATCTTTTATGATACATCTACTGTTAACTTATCAAATGAGATGTATTCCGTTGTTACCTTTTTACACACTGAAATTTATATCTACAACATCTGATTTACTTTTCTCAAATACCACGTCCAATGATAGTTTATTTTCTTTTTGACCAGTTGTCCTAAGACAATTTATTCAAAAGAAAAATGTGAATGTTCTCTTGGAAATGGAATATGGTAATTTTTTTCTGATCTTGAACTAGTTCATCTCCGAGGGATATTCTTGTGAATTAGATTTCTTTTGGACCAGCATTGCTGCATGTTGTGCTTCGTGAGTACCTCTTTCTCCCTTCCTTCTTTTATCTGGTTATGCATGCGCTGATTGGTTCTCTTGATCTATATTTTTGTAGGCTTTGGCAACAGCTCATTTGCAGGTTAGACTATGTTGCTTTTGATTGGCTATTAGTTCAACCCCAGTACTTTTCTTAAATGTAAATTACCCGTACATTTAGTAGGTATACTTTGTTATCCTCTTGAAGAATCAGGTTTGTATGATTATTGAGAAAACATAAAAGTCATGGTCATAATTGTCTTGAAGATTATTGAAGCATGTGTTACGTAACCCAAATTTCAACTTATCTTTTTCTTCTCAGGGAAAAGATGGAACCACCCATTTTTTTGTCAAATCAATTTCAATAACATCGCCCGACTATTTGGCCTGGGCTTTCTGTTTATTTAATGCAGATTGTGGAAAAAATGATCCCAATGTGAGTGAGGAAATGGAGAAAAGCTTCACCGATCTTTTGGCTGAGGAATTAAAATTGCAAGAACTTGTGGCTTCAGAAAATAAGCGACATGCAGACGCCGCGTTGCTCGAGGCCAAAAAGGTGTCCTCTCAGTATCAAAAAGAGGCAGATAAATGCAATGCAGGAATGGAGACTTGCGAAGGAGCAAGAGAGAAAGCAGAGGCCGCTCTCATTGCAGAGCGAAAGTTATCTGCATTATGGGAAATGAGAGCAAGAGAGAGAGGGTGGAATGGCTCTGAAACCACGAATAGGTGATCAAGAAAATCGACACTTTTTTTTTTGATCATCTCTTTCCGATTAATTATTATCGGGTTTCCCCTCTCGTATTTAATTGAGTCCTTATTTTTGGCTTGTTGTCTTCAAATGCTCCAAAGGCTTAGTTTGGGCTCAATAACTTTTTTATGTATTTTTTTCTTATGAATTTATCTCTCCTTTTTTTTTCCCCTAGCCTTGTAACTTAGAATTCATGGATGTAACTGTTTTTGTTCTCAAGAAAGAAAATTATTTATGGATTTGAACTGTGAATTGTTTCTTGACCAGCTCAACCATCTCTTTCAGACTTAATCGATGTCTTTGGCTCTTTTCTTTTTTCCTTTTTTTTTTAAGTATAGTTTCTAATGTTCATGGGCTGTTTTAATGTCCACTTTCTTAGCCAGAGTGCGATTGGGTAACACTACTGTTCGTAATGCAAGTAAAAGAATAGAACAGGCTTCATATTGGCCGCGATGATTTTTCTGTTTTTTAAGGATACAATGAGCCCGTTTATTTTCATGTCCAAAGGTCACGATCCCTGTTCAAAGGTCACTGTTAAATGAAAATTCAGGTGTCTAGGGATGTACTATTAGTAGCACCGAAAATCTAAAGATTATTTCCTTACACATTTCGTTAAGACTTTGAAGAAATAACACCACCAATTTTTGCATTGGATAGCAGGGGCTGATTGCGACTTGTATAAAAAATAGTTACTCCCTAAATAAACCTTCAACACCATCACCACAACTTCAAATATTGTTCCACAAGATCATTACCATTGCCGATTTACACAATTGCGCATAAAAATATAGATTATTACCAGTGCCTATTTTCACAATTGCGCATAAAAATATCTATAGACACAGCTAGGATAGAGCTACTTGGACATCCAGGGCCTGAACTAATTAATTTAATCTCAAAATAGTGAGAGCCAAGTTTTAAATTCTTGCCACACATCACACTAACCCAAACCAAGAATGAGCACATCGCCACTGATTTTTCCCGGAATGATCATGCACTTCATCCCAAATATACCAATCTCTTGCTCATACGTGCATATCATACACGAGAGAGAGAGAGAGAGAGAGAGAGAGAGAGAGAGAGAGGATAGTTGAATTATTGAATAGAGCGAACTGAATAAAACCGAGTTCAAACTTGTGTTGCCCTCTTTGAGCTTCTTCTCTCGGCTTCCCTCTCCGCAATCCTCGTATAAAACTCTCCACCCAGCATGTCTCTCACAGTTGTGTTCCAAGTGACACTAGCTACCACTGTGTCAAGGATCAATTCCATAGAGATATTGAAGCCCAAAAGCGAGAGAATTCGGATCGCATTGGCAAGCCGGCAAACATTCTCTCTCGTGCCCAATGGAACTGATGATGCCTCTTCTTTGTGGGGAGCTAAAGGGCTCACCTCTACTTCCATTTTGTCCTCTAATTTTGCACTGAGATCTTCAAAATCCTCATTTTTCCCACCACCATCAGAGTGAGCACCAACCCATATATAGCCATTGCAGCCAAGGATGAGGTCGACGCCATATTGTTCAAGATAGTGGAAATGCTGCTTTCGCCTTTTCACCAGATATGGGGAGACGGAGAGAAGCTGGCCCTTCTCAAGCTGCAACATGTAAACTACTTCTAGTCATGTGGATCACGAAAACTGAGAAGATAGGATAACTTATTGAAACAACAATCCGTAAATTAATTGTAAAGAAAAACAATCAGTGGAGGGGTCCAAGAAATGATTTAATAGACACCCCAAAATTGAATGTCCATGTGAGCAGGAATAGGAAAAGAAAAAGAGAGAATAACAAACAACCCCCTGATATATTCATCTGCCATGTCCCTTTGGCTGAGGGCCTCACTAGCCACAAAGTCTGATGCCCTTTTCCTCAAACCCTCAACCAAAGTCTTCTCAATAATACCAAAGAAAACATATCAACTTAACATGCTCATCCGCCAACAGTCTCTACTATCCATTTCAATCTTAATATTGTGTGCCTTCCAATGCACCCCAAGAAATAGTAAACAAATAGTATTTTTAGAAATACCCATTTGAAGAAACTAATGAGAATAGAATCAAATAAAAAAACCCGCCAATTGAATAAGAATCAAGTCATAGATCCAAATAATGGATGTGTTTAATAACTTAAATGAGAACCGGGTTCTAGCTAAAAATGGTAGAATGCAGGTTTCAGCAAAAGTCACATAGGACAATTTACACAGGGTGTGTGTATGTGCCAGAAATTAAGGCGTTCATAATGATATAAATATTGTTTAGTTTACAATTTATCATCAGAGCATTAAAGAAAAAGATAACAGTAAGGCCTTCAAATCTGGACCATCCAACCCTATGAAGGAAAATGTAGCATAGCATCACCATAAAGTTTGGACAGTATAGTGATTTTAAGATGTAAATCAATATGTAGCAATAGCTCTAGATCCTCATGGGAAGAAACCTGAAGAGCAAAATGAAAACACATTACCTTTCCATACTTTTGACTTCGTGCTTGAAGGTGTAAACTTCCATCGTTCTGGGAACCACGAACTTCAGCCTGAAAACATAACATAGAGAGTGAATACATTTGATTTAGTTATCATTTAATGTGAATTATAGACACAATATGGAACTCGAAACCTGAATTGATGAAAAGCTGAAGTGGAAATGATTTCCCAAAAATGAATAATAGTTTATTAACAATTAGAACACTGACTAATTTTAGTCATGATGCATTGCTGACTAGACCAAAGTCTCACTTGATGGGAATCACGCGAGCAACCATCCAAGTACAACAGGCTTTATCTTTCTCTTTTTAAAAAAAAACCTGATTACTATTTATCTTTCTCATTTTAAGAAAGAATATACAACACATGGCCAAAGTAAAGGAAAATACCTACCTTCATAAGCAGCCAACTTACTTGTGAAGAGAATGCCATCAGCAAATTATATTGAAACACCAAGGGACTTCAAGAACTTACACATATGACGTCGTTTTCTTCAAAGATACTTCGCATGTTGAGTTCGTCAACTGCCGTTCGCCGCCTCTAGCAATAGCCAAGTCAATGCCACAAGAATATAAACATCAGCCATGATATATCTAGTGCTTTTTTTCCTCTCCTACGAATAACAATCTAACAGTTCTATCTTACCAAAAAAATTTATAACAATCGAAAAGAAGAAAGAATATACGAACCAGTGTTTTTACCAATTGGAGAACACTGAGATGAAAGAAGTAAGTGACCAAAAGGGGTATGCTTTATTTTCAGTCAGTAGTGGTAAGATTTAATAGACAGAACTGGAAACACTCTATTTATTTGAAGATTCTTCAATCAAAATTATTCTGGTTAAAGATTGCTGATCTAGAAGAATTCCATAAACTGGGTGCAATCAAATATTAGAGAACTACCAAAGAGATTCCTGTGACAATTCAGTGACATTTTACTAGTATAAACCCAATTAAGCCTTTTGGTATTCAAATCTCAACCATGAGGCACTTACTGAATTACATAAAGAATCAAGCCCTATTTCTTGTGATCACTGTCCATTTTGATTTCTGCTGATGTGGATGCATATGCCCCATAGAAATCATATTGCTTACAAAATGCAAAAGGTTCAAAAATTTTGGCAACAATAACAGGACTATTGATTAAGCTTTCATATACCCAATCTCTTGCAACATGCAAATTTAGAGAACAAGAAGTACTTTTATGCCCCTGTTCAAATTTATTTGAGCTAATTAGTTAACCAACACATATGCAAAGCACAAAGAACAAAACCTATAGAACTCCAAAAAAAAAAACCATTTATTAGGTACAAAATATCCTCTAGGAAAGAACCAATTGATGACACCCTACAACTTGGAGGAGTTAAACATCACAGATCGCAAGATCAGATTTAGATATACTAAAGATTAGTCAGAGCTTAAAAACTTAAGAGGTCTTGGACATTTTGTAAGAGTCATGATATTTTAGCAAAGATAATAAAGAAATGGAAGGAGAGCATTCTTGAACCTGAATGCCATCTGGCAAATTCATCGACGAAAGCATTAATATGGCATCTTGGATGAAGTTAATATCCAATCTCCAGCGTTTTGGAGCCACCTGTAATCAATAAGACCATGTTTTCATTATATATACATGTATATTGATTGTCTATGGTCGGTCCATAAATTATTTTTCATTTACGTTTTTTTTTAAGACGTAAAAGGAAAAAACATAAATGAAAAAAATCCAATGAAAAATGATTCGTTAAATATCAATTTAGACATAAAAGAGAACCTCAATTTGTTGGAATTTCAATGCAGAGTGTATTCTCTGCATGTGATTGCATAGTTGAAGACTTAATGGCAAAATGTTCATTGGATATTTGGAGCATTTTTTTTTCTTGTGATATTTAATATTTCATTTGGACACATTTTTTGGGATGTGGATCATAGTACACAAACTACAAATCAACTTAAAACTCAGTCCAGAACAAAATATGAATGACTAGAGGCAGAAAGTTTCTTTTCACTTTCTTTACAAAAATTATAGTTAGCTAAGTATCAAAAATTAGAACAATAGATTTATTAAATTTTAGGAAATGTTTTGAACATTAAATCTGTTTTCAGCATTACGACATGGAATCGAGGATTTCTTATGGGAAAAAGCAATTTCCAAATGTTCAAGCAGCATCAAAAGTTTTTACCAGTTTGATATGAAAGAAGTGTCACAATGAGAGAATGATGAAGAACATGATTTTGAAATAAAAAAGGAAATAGATAAAGTAGCTATTACAACAATTCAATTATACATAAAGATCAGCCCTACATTATAAATTATCAATTAAAAATTTCACAAAGTTGATAAAATCTTGATTTTTCTAAATATGGATTTTCAGGTCACAATCATGGTAATCAGCACCAAATATAACAAGGTAGAAGTTTGAGTTTGTGACACCATTATGCCACTAACAACATACATTTGCTAGTGATCCAAAACTACATGATTCACATAATCTTGATTTTCAGAATATCAGTATTTGAGTTGTTTTTATAGCAAGTAGTCATATCTGACAAGCAATAACTTTGAATTTGTGAAGCATTCTACATTTACCTCAATGACGCGACCAACAACAATATCACCGATTTCAGGTTTGTACCTGCAACAGATCACCATAGGTTAAAATGAAAGATATAAGGATCATATCCAATGAAGAAATCAAACTAACAATCCTGCATGCAAGTACCAAGTTGAGCTAACATGGACCGAAGAACATAGAGAAGCAGCAATGACCAAAGCTTATCACTCAAAGCACTCTAGATTCCACCACATTAATCGGACCAAAAAGTTTTGAATAATATGAAAAAGAACATTCATATCTGAACCTGAAATTTCTAAACACATGTAAGAATAAATAAAATATAACTAATCATTTACCAATCCTGATTTCAGTGATTCTAATTCTTGAAGAAAAAAGCATACTTATAAGCATTTTATGCAGATAAAAGCATTAGGACAAAAAGACAACCATTCTGCCAACTTGGAATTACAAAGAAAAAAATATTAATCTTTGTCAACAACCATCATCATCATCAAAAAAGCCTTTTCCCAAACAACCATATCAATCCTTGTAAACAACCCAAAAAGACAAAGAAGATACAAAAAATACATAAAATGAAATGTATGATGAAACTGAAAATGTTCAATTAATAATACCTCGCTCTAAAGGGTCGAACTAAAACCAGTTTATTAACACGTTCCACTGCACCGCATAGAGTTGCCACCACTTCACCTTCAAGTTCAGCTGTTCCATGGCCCCTAAACCCAAAATAACCACTATATATTCAACAAATTTAAAGGAAAAATAAATAAAAAAGGAATAAACAGGGAGAAATAACAACTGGGCGTCACTAAGTTTAGTAATTTCACACTAAGTTTAGTAATTTCAAACCCCAAAGTCCAAAAAAAGTGCGAATTCATAACAGTTCAAAACGAAATATCAGAAATTCACACTATCCAGTTCATACACTAGAGCAAAATCCTAGAAACTAAACACGGGAAAAAGATAAAGGCAAAAAAGCAAATCAATACTTTGGAAGAAAGAAAGGAATTAAATACGTATTTAATATTACCCAAGAAAAAAAATTCAAAGCCAAAAAAATCAAATAAGAAAAAACACAAACGGAACCAACTGTCGAGAAAGTAACCTAAATCATTAAATTCAATGAGCTCATAAGTAAAATATAGAAACATTATACAGGAAACAAGCTGAAGAAAATGCCTAGATACAAAAGAGAGAGAGAGAGAGAGAGAGAGAGATTTTATACTTGAGAATGTTGTCTTCAAGGTTTACAGGGATGGTGTCAGCCACAATGACAGGTGAAGATGCGACACTGCAATCTCGGAGGCATTGCAGAGCTCTCTTCAGTCGAACCTTTTGGGTCTGCGTCATTGCAAAGTTAACGTCCCGCATCTCTCTCCCTCTCTTTCTAAAAACTCAATTTCTCTCTCCACAAAATCAAGCTAGGGTTAGTGAGTTCCTGTTTAGCTGCTGCTACTGCCTCTCTCTCTCTCTTCAGAAATTAGAGTTCGGGTTACTGAGTTTCTTCTATACAAGTACTCTTTCCTCTCTCCTCACAAACTAAACCTAGGGTTTACAGAGTTTTACCTAGCAACTCCTATCTCTCTAGAAACTGTCTTTCTCTCTCTAAAAACCTTCTGGAAGAGTTGGGTGCCCGCCCTTCACACACGCGAACTTGAGTTCCCGCATTTTTGCTCTTTGCCCACTTATCAAAATTTGCATGCGAGCCCAAGCCTTTTTATCAAAAGACAAAGTACTCCAAGTTTTATGAGACGGCTATTTAAGTACTTTCGATTTGGGGATTTTATATTGGGATTGTATTGAATAAGATTATTTATTTTTGATACAAGGTTACAATTACTTACAACCATTGGATGTGAAGTTTGATAGTTTGGATATGTCACAAAGTTTATAAATTTTTTTTTTGAAATTTGAGCTTTATCAATGAAATAATTGCAGCCACCCAATTTCACATCCAATGATCAAGATTAATGTCACATCCAATAATCAAGATTAATGTCTCATTTTGTACCAAAGGTAAATGGCCTCATTATATACTTTACTTTACTTACATTGGGATTGTATACAATAAAACCATTTTATTTTGATACAAGGTGGTCACAATTACTTACAACCATTCGATGTAAAGTTTGATAACTTGGATGTCACAAAATTCGAGAAAATATCTTTTAAAGTTTGAGCTTGGTTAATGGAATAGTTGTAACCACCCAATTTCACATCCAATGGTCAAGATTAACGTCTCACATTGTACCAAAGGTAAATGGTCTCATTGTATATTTTTCCTTTTATATTACGGTGCAGTTTATATAGAGCCAAGACTCTAAACAATCAAAATAAAATACACCTTCAAATAGTATTGAGGAATATGGTTTCAATAGTGGAAATCTTTGGATATCCTTAAAATATATTTTCATCTTTAATTATAAACTTTAAAGCTTAAAAAAAAGTATAGATTGAGCATATCTATGAAAACTTAAAAAACTTGAAAATTGATGGTCCAAACGTGCGTTACAAGATTCACTATTTTCAAAACTTGAAATCCATTTTTTTCTCATATCCATGCATCTTGATGTCGAGATGATCAATTTGAGGATATTAGTCATCAAAACAACCTCTTCTCGTGAAATTTTTTTAGACGGGCTCTAATTTGATTGTTTAGATCCTTGGCTCTATATAAACTTTTTTCCTTATATTTTGAGACAATTTTCCTTATTACTAGAAGGTCACAATTAATATTACCTATTGATGTCATATTGAATTACTTATGGTCTATTACAAAGTTCGTGAAATTTATTTTTGAATTTTTATTTTAGTCAACACACACTCACAACCACCTGATTTGAAATTTGAACTATAAAATGATTGTGACCTCCTTGTATTAAAAATAAATGATCTCTTTATACATTGGAAAATTGTTTCATACAGGCTAGACCGCATTTCTACATATGCGGTCCAAAAAGTGAAAAGCATCAATTTTTAAGATGGATGAAAGTATGTGTTCCATCTAAAAACAACGGAAACTAACTGTTCAAATGTTTTCTTACTAGAATTATTATTTCTAATTTAAAAATTTATTTATTTTTTCATATTCATGATCTTCATGTTAGAGATTACACGTCTCTAAAAAATAAGTCTTAAAATCCATCTCAAAAATAGATTATTAAGAGGCCCACATTTCTACATAAGCGGGCTTGGCCGCATAGAAACCGGGTCCTTATATATTTTTCCTAAATACCCTTGATATAGGTGGATCTCTGTCCTCTAAATTTCATAAGACGACCATTATACATTGACACAGGCGCGCCTCTCTATCTCTCTCTCAAGATCAGTAGTTCCCAACTAATCATGTCGATTCCATGCCTTGAGAAAGGATGAGGGTTATGTTAGATTGGTAGGCAGCACAAAATTTTTGCCACATCTATTTTAGAAATATTGATCATATGGCAAAAACCTTTAATAATTGAGATAAAGTTTGGATAATGATAATGATGAGCATTTTTATAAAATATACAATGAGACCGTTTATCTTTGAGTAGCAATTGAATTTGGCTAGTATTGCCTAACCAAACTAATTGATCTTTATTCCTCATTTTTCAATAAGTTAAGACTTGGGCTCCAACTCATCTAGGTCCTAAGCCCTTGTCCCTTCTTGTTGGAATGAGCGAGTCTGAGTCAAATCGTGAAATTTTTCATAAAAACTTAATAAATATAAACAGAGGACCTTAGTCATAGAATCACTTACGCGGTTCTTTAACTGTCACGATTTCTTAATGAAATGTCGTTGATTGACTTAGGGTAGGTTTTTTCTTGGGCTTGTGAAGGATTCAATATTAGAATATTACACATAAGACTATTTATTTTTTGTAAAAGAATGTCGTAATGATTGTCATCCATTAGATGTCAAATTGGACGGTCGAGAGGTTGTGTAAACTTTTTTTTCTGGCACATTCCAAGCTGCCTCATTAGCATCTTAGGATTGATTGTGACCTTTTTTATCCCAAAATTAAATGGTTTTGTAGTATACAATTCCTCTAAGTAACAATCAGCAAGAGGCAATGCACATCTCTATTATTGAATTATAATATCAAATGGGTAAAATTAGATGACTATTTATTCAAAAGACAAAAATCATTAAAATTTACAGATTTAAAAAATAGCTAAAAATTCTCAAAATAGGAAAAATAAATTCTTTACTTACATAAATGATATTACTATCTAGGTTTTAAAAATAAATTATCTATATAAATGATAGTTTTTCTTAATGAATGATAGTTTTTCCTTTTTTTTCTTTTAGTTAGTTTGCTATGTTGGGGAGATCCGAAATTTAGAGTCCACAAAATAATTCTAGATAAATTTTGACCCGAGGGAGTGCATGTCTAATATGCTCCCCCAGGAGCATAGGCAAACAAAATGCACCACAAATTTAACCTACCAGAAAAAAAAAAAAAAAAGCCAAACCTTTTACTTATGCTAAAATATTTCCTAAGGGATATCTTTTTTATATAAAAATTTGGGACGTGATCTCTAGATTCCAGCAGAGGATATAAAAATAATAATATTAACTCTCACTTTCTATTTGCCTAAATGAAATATCATCCCAAGATTGCACCGAAACCGTCCAATTTTGGAGGGAACGAAGATCTTGATGTTTATGAACTCAAACTCTAAATTGTTTTCTTTGAAAATAATCATCTAGTTATAGTTAGATGGATCTCGAAACTTCAAAAAAAAAAAAAAAAATCCCAAGCTAGTGTTTTGCCTGGGGGAGTATATAGATGGGATACTCCGGCAGAAGTAGAAAATCAATTTGGTTTTAACATTCCCCTTATTTTTAGAAAAGGATAAGAGAGGAAAAGGAGGGGATTTCTTCCTCTCCTATATTTGTTCCCCTCCGTACAATCACACCCACCTCCAAAATTCCCTCTCCGACCCCCCCCCCTTATTTTGGGCCATCACATTCCCTTCCCTTCTCTACACCACCACCATTTTGAACATTTAGTCTCTTATTTTCATTGGGGTTTGAAAATATGGGATTTGGACTCTCTCAATTGTTGGGAGGGTCGAGAGGAAAAGAGCTCCATACCACTAAACAACGGCTCTACAATCCCATCCACCCTTTTCTAACTCCCAACATGTCGTCACCCTTTCTCTCTCCCCACCCAACTTAGCCCTCCCCCTCCCCCTCCGCCTCCCCCTCCCCCTCCCCCACCACCCCAAGGGGAAGGATGGCCTCCCTCCACCTCTTGGGGCTCCTCCCTCTCTATCTCCTCTCTTTCTCCCTCCTCTGCGATGTGTCCACCACAATTGCCGCACCCCTCCCAACCTTCCGCGAGGCCCCAGCATTTAGGAACAGTGATTCGTGCATGAACCCACGTCCGTCAGGACCAATCCATGTGGCCATGACCCTCGATGCGAATTATCTGAGGGGCTCTTTGGCAGCGGTCCTCTCCATCTTACAGCATGCATCGTGCCCGCAGGACATTACGTTCCACTTTTTGGCGTCGGGTAGGGAGTCGAAGCTCCAGTCCGCTCTCAAGGCGTCATTCCCTTATCTCTCCTTCTCCCTCCACCACTTTGATCCAGCTAGGGTCAAGGCTCTGATATCAGCTTCGGTAAGAAGAGCCCTGGACCAGCCTCTCAATTATGCCAGGGCATACCTGACCGCCATCTTGCCAGCAAATGTCAACCGTGTCGTCTACCTCGACTCAGACCTCATTCTAGTGGACGACATTTTCAAACTCTGGGATGTCAACCTTAAAGGGAAAGTCCTCGGAGCACCGGAGTACTGTCATGCAAATTTCACGACCTATTTTACCCCTGCATTTTGGTCGGACCGAAAGCTGGCTGCCAGTTTTAGGGGGAGGAAGCCTTGCTACTTCAACACCGGGGTGATGATCATAGACATACAAAGGTGGAGACTTGGGAGCTACACTAGGAGAATTGAGAATTGGATGGAGATACAAAAAAATAAGAGGATATATGAGTTGGGTTCATTGCCTCCATTTTTGCTTGTTTTTGCGGGCAATATACAAGGTGTGGACCACAGGTGGAACCAGCATGGGCTTGGGGGTGACAACCTTGAGGGCAAGTGCAGAGATCTTCATCCTGGACCTGTCAGCTTGCTGCATTGGAGTGGAAAAGGAAAACCATGGCTGCGGCTCGACGCACGAAGACCGTGCCCAATCGACAGCCTTTGGGCACCTTATGACCTCTTCCAATCATCTTCCCTCCGCTTCGACTTGTGAGGAAGCTAGAGGCAAAGAAAGCGAGAGCTGGAGCCATAATTCGTGCACATATGTTTTGGGGGTGGATTCATGGCGAGGGGAGTGAGTTCCACAATCAAGCATGACTCTCATCATGTTTCCAAGTACAGGGCAAATGACCCTTTCGTTAAGCACGAGTATATTGTCATCATCATCACCATCACTGTAATTGTTCTAACCAATTATCATCATCATTTTTTCTATTATTTTGGAAATCAGTATCAAATATTCAATTGATTTCGGAGTTGAAAAAAAAAAATGACCCGAGATCTTTTCAGCATTTTTTATATCGCATTGGACCTATTAATAAGTGTGTGCGTGTGTGAACATTAGGGGCTACTCATGGCATTTATTATGTTTTTGTTGTTTGTAGAATCCTCTGCAATTTGCTGGATTTTGATTCATTATAGCATGTAACCAATGTACAGCAAGAGACATTGACAAAATATAAAATGAAAGAGAAAGGGAGCATTCACATAGGGGACGGTTCAGGCTTGATTGTATCAAATGTATCTTGAAAAGGAGGTAGAAGCTATCTAAGATACGATGATTATGCCTGATATTTTTAAATTTATACACTTCTTAACCTTTCTCTTTCATTTTAGTAATTTTGTCAAAAATGATGTACAAGTGGACACGGTTTCTATGCGGCCAAGCCCGTATATGTAGAAATGCGGGCCTCTTAACAAATCTATTTTTGAGATGAATTTTAAGACTTAATTTTTAAGGACATATAATCTTTAACATGAGGATCATGAATATGAATAAATAAATAAATTTTAAAAAATAAAAATAATAATTCTAGTAAAACAACATTTGGACCGATAGTTTCTATTGTTTTTAGATGGAACACCTATTTGCATCCATCTTTAAGAATGCTTTACAATTTCTGGGCCACATATGTAGAAATGTGGTCCAGCCCGCTTGAAACAATTTTCCATAAGAATTATGCTATTTACAAAAATAAGCCTATTTACATAAGATCCAATATGTATTTGATATGCTAATCAGTTGGATTCTCATGTAAAAACAAACTCACAAATTCAAAGAAGATGTGCTCCTGAGATGCTGATCACTTGGATTCTTGTCCTTAAAAAAAAAACAAATTACGATTTCAGAAAATAGATTTGCTACAAACATTTTGCGATCACACGCAAAAGCCATGTTCTGATTTTCAAATGAAAAGAATAAAGAAAATCCAATTAATTATGTTTTTCGAAATTGAAACACCAGTCTCATAGTGTACAGCAAATGATCATAAGACATCAACACGCAAACCAATTGTAGCTTAATCCCACTTATTTTTGGGAATAAAATCGCTCAAATTTAGAGACCAATTGAAAAAAAAAAAAAACTAAAAGGAGATTAATCAAGTGAGATAAATACTATCAAGAACTGCAAATCCGGCCGCCACCCCACCTTCATCTGAACTCGAGACCTTCGTCCTCATCAAATAACCGCATTGATTATTCAAAATAACCTTTTCTTTGTTCCTAAATGAAACACCCACATCAAACTATTAGAACTAATAAAAATAAAATAAAGTTTTACCTTTCAGACAAATTTAAACAAAAAGCAAAAATTGTAATAAACAACATACACACACACACACCCACCTCCACCCACCCACTCACACATGATAAAATATTATATGAGCCCGGCTTATAGTATCGCATAAGCCATTTTGAGAAGTAGGGCTCATTGGACCCCAAATTTTGTGTGCCGCACATACACTGCGTATGTGTGCATGAGAGAGAGAGAGAGAAGCAAAGAGGAAAGCAAAGTTGTACTGGCGGTTTTGCAAAACAGTAGCATGAATGCCCTTCAATATCAGAAAAAGACCATCTGGTACTTAAAAATAAATCCTGAAAATTTTAGTCAGTTTCTTTCATTATCAGTTACATATGATAACAAAAACCAATCAAATTTAAAATTGCAAGACAGTCCTGGCAACAAAAGGTCCAAACCTTAGATAGGCTCCATATATACCCAGCTCAGAGATAGCTTGATCTCGATGATAACAGCCCTTTCTAACAAAATGGGCATCCGAAGTTTGAGGGAAAATCCTCTGCATCAGAATGTAAGCAGCAAACCCTTCACCCCCTTCCTTATGCAATTCCTTCAATTTTTCCCTCACATCATCTCCATATACATTGTTTCCTACAATTGGAATAACACATTTACTAAGGATAATGCAACAGATAAATAGCAGTTTTTCTCCCAATAACCATAGATCATGCCCTTCACATTATGAACATATCCGAAAATGGAGAGAAATGAAACCGAACAACCAAACAGGTAATAAAGAAAAGCAGAGACAGAAAGATCAATATTAGAAGACAGAAAGATTAATATTAGAAGAGACCCTCAAACAAAGAGGCAAAAAGGATGCTCAGCCACTTTCATGAATCAACTAATACAAGAGGGATATATGGGGGGAAGAGAGAGAGAGAGAGAGAGCATTTTGATAGCCACAGTACAAATCTTTCTGACCTTTGCATCTCTGCATCCTTCTTTGTCCTAAAGTTCATGCCTTATTTCCCCTCAACCTAAAGAATGACATTAATGCCATACTCCTTGTCTTAAAATTAAATTAACTATTTTTTATTTTTAGTTTCATGATTTTAAAGATGAGTATTATCAAACTTCTAGACAAAATATGGAAATTATCAACCACTTCATTAGATTGAACTCAAAAACCTCAATTCCCCAAGAAATCACGAACGACTCCTGAGGTTTTCTTGGGTGTTTGATTGAACTTCGTACAATGTATTTTTCTTGGCACTTGGTATATGCCTTGAGCTTTTCTTGTTAGATTTTTTCGTTTTCACTAGTGTTTTCTTATAACATTTCAAGACACACAGATGACACGCACTACTTGAACTAAAACAATAGGGAACACAGGAGCAATAAAAAAGAAAAAGGAGAAAAAAATGACAGGAGTTAATAGAAATGAAGTGTAATACCTCCTCCTTCTCTTTGGGGTTTGAGCACAAAGAGTTCAGGCTGGTCCATTGCATCCTTTACAATATTCGGGTCGTCCAAACTCCATAATCCCGCAAAGCATTTGCGAAGCTTTGATATGTCCTCTGGATTATCTACAAACCTGCATTCCACACACTAAACAAACGTGAACACTCTGTTGCAACCAATATATATTTTTCTAATCAGTAACCAAATTGAGAAGATGGAACTCCATGCGAAAGTGAGTACATCAGTCATGACTAACAATTCAAGATTACTTTGGTCATAACTCGTGACAATCAAATTCAAGAATATTTTGGTCATTTCCCACCATCAGAATTATCATCCTCTCAAGTACACGAAACCCATCAGCTCGACCCCAACTCTGGCAAGCATGATTGCCGCTTAGTCTCTGAATTTCAGCAAATGATGCTAAAAGACACCCATTTCTAGCAGTCAACTATAGATCACCAAATATCCCAGGGCTCTTTTGTGCTTTGATTGATAATAAATTTAAATGTTATTAAATTGATTACAAATCTAAATGTTATTGAACAATTAATGAAGTTTTCTCAATAAGATATAACAGCAGAAGCATCCCAGAAAGATATTCGAGTAATCCAACTATAATTTATACATTATTTTTTCTTTAAAATAATATATTTTACTTATTCATAGCAATCCTTGCAAGAGCTGCTTCTTACTACAAGTTGGGAAAGATAACCAAGCACCGTCAAAAGATGCACTATTTAACATTGTACCCATTTCCTATATCTTAATTTCAAAAAGCCCTCAAAGGACATGCTATAACGGGTCAATAATGAGCTAGAAATTGTTGCAGGGCAATCCCAATTTTTGGCCATCATCAAAGAGAAAGTACTTTTTAGAAAAACAACCTATGTAAGAAATTAGTATTTTCTAATACAAATATATCACTCTAAACACCCTATGAGATATTAGTATTGTCTAACTCCTTGTGAGATATTAATATATTGGAAAAAGTTTATATAGAACCGAGGCTCTAAACAATCAAATTAGAGCCCACCTCAAAAATTTCACTAGAAGAGGTTGTTTTGATGCCCAAATATCTTCAAATTGATCATCTTGACATCAAGATGCATGGCCATGAGAAAAAAATACATTTCAAGTTTTGGAAATAGTGCATCTTGTAACACATTTTTGGACCATCAATTTTCAAGTTTTCATAGATTTGTTCAATCTAAAATATATTTTAATGCTATCACAAAGATTTCCAATATTGAAACTACATTTCTCGACATTATTTGAAAGTGCGCTTTACTTTGATTGTTTAGAGCCTCGGCTCCAAACAAACCCCACCCTAATATATTTGAATACCAGTATCTTATGAGTGATAAGTTTTCATAAGATATTTGTGTTTCTAAACATCAATATCTCACTCTAAATACCCTAGAGATATTGGTATTTTTGAAAACCAACATCTCACCAAATAATCTCATTAAGTCATCATCATTTGAGCCTTATCCCAACTGTTTGGGGTTGGCTCTAATATCTCACTAACTCACCAATGAGAAATGGATATTCAATATCTCATAAGGTGTTTAGATTTCTATATTGTTATCTGAAAATGCCAATATCTCATACAGTTAATTTTCCTAAAACCCAATCTAATTGTGATAGAGGGTCAAACTGAAAATTGCCCAACGATCAATATGTGAACCCTGGGGGCCCTGACCCCTTATGATGTGTACTTGATATGTACCTTAATGGCTCTCTGAACTTAGGACAAAGGGTGTTGGTGAAATGTTAAACAGTGAATATCAAAGCTGTGGTTTGATAAATTTCCCCTAGAACTAGAAGTCTAAAGATTGGAACGAAAGCCACCAAAGATTGGAACGAAAGCCACCAGCTGGCTCTCAAACCAAAATAGGAAACCATCCACCAAGCCACATTCTGGTCTATAATTACTATCAAACTATGGGCTCAAAGTTTGAGTTCAATTTTTAAATTGTGCATAGAAAAAATATCATCTCATTATAGTTGATATATAGAGGGTCTCAACCACCACAACATTTGAATTCCACAAGATTTCAATCATAGGTTTCCAAGACCTAGGATTCCATAACAACATCCTCCCTATTCACCCATACCTTTCAAGAACATTGGGTTTTGCGAGCTCCTGCTGGATCTTCTTAGTGCCCGCTAAATGGTATGAAATTGATGGGCACTTGACAGCACATGATTGCTCCATGAGTAATCTTGCTCTCCATTCCTAATCAAATGATATGAATTTCAACTTTTCAAATGACATGGAAACCCAAAATAATATCTATACAATTATAAAAAAAATTCTCATTAACCAAAAATAATAATATTGTAGACAACAATATCAAAAGATAACTAAAAGAAGAATGAAAAAAATGCTAAATGACAAATAACACGGCAGTAAGTAATTTTGGATGCTAGAACCACTCTTATAGGCCAATATTAAGTTATTTCAATATAACCACCTCTTACAACAGAAATTTATAAACATTATTTTATAAAGAAAACCATACAGTGCTTCATAGATGAATATAATTGTCATCTTGAAAAAAGAAGAACAAAAAAAAAAGGAGACCGTAATTGGGGCAATAAACAATGAAAGACAAGATTGAAGTGGATGGTCACAAACTGATTCTGTGGGATAATTGTTAGGACTATATCCAGCTCTGAAGTAAATGACCGCAACTTCATAGTCTCCTCTGCATGTAAATAAAGTTCTAAATTGCAGAAATAACAACATAATATAACAAACATAGATTCAGAAATGATGTATACTTGTTTCAGAATGATACTTTCTTGGGGAACATAAAAGATAATCCAATGGAGTATGGTGTACAGCACTCCAAAGGAGCACCTGTCATCCTTTTGAGATGACCAACATTGGAGATTACTCATAGTAGGTCCACCATGGACATTCACCCAGGTACAGTTAATCTCCACTATCCATCATCAGAAAGAAAAGGTAGATGCCCCTTTGGAGTACTACATTGCTACTATATTGGGTTCTAGTGCAGTTTCTGTTTTCTTCCAATAAGTTTTTGACATTCAAGATGATCAAAAAAATAAAAGACAAAAATAAAAATATCTTTGGTCATTCAACCAAATGTGAGAGTGATCTTGATAATGTTGGAAATCTGAGAAATATTATACAGAAAGAGTCTTCCATCTGGCCGAAGTTCTGCCTCTGAATCTACTTCAGCCATTGATTTCCTAATACTTGTTATACCATGCGTGTTCTGGAGTTAAGAAGGGCCAAATGAAAACCAATTGAATCATTCAGAAGAGAACATGATTATTCATGCAACCAAACAAAGTTACTTATCATTTTGTCTTATAAAAGGATATTGGTCCTTCAATATAGAAGAGAGCCAAAGCTGGTCATACATGTTATGCTCCTCTGGCTGCACCACAACCAGAATTATGGAACTGTATCCAAACAAAAATACGAGTTATTTGATATAGAAACTGACATAAAAAAGAAAAGGAAAAAAGTAAAAGAACCAAAGTAACAGGCCTTTATGACCTTTCACTGCAAATGTTTCTTAAAAGTAACAATTAACTGGAAAATCTGAAACTAATTTGAGGATTAGATAGAAAAATAAAATAATGAGGATGCTGACGGAGGTTCCGTAAAAGTCCCTCACTTCAAGAGTCAAACCTTCTATTATTGTACTCATTCCATGTTTGAGCTAAGGCCTCTGCGAATCTGATAACTGCAGTGTTTCCAGGTACTTTCTTGGAATCTAATCCAATTCGCTTCCCATAATGATTAAGTAAGTGCCTGTCAACTAAATATCAATTTTTTACTCAACTATAACGTTTACTTAATAACAAATTCAGTCACCATACAAACTTTTAGTCAACCACAAAAACAGAAGTTGGCAAAAGGCCATTGAATATTCTGGCTGAGTTTAATGGAAACAAAGGCCTCTGAGTTTCAGCCGAAAATCAGAGTATAAAGGCCGTCAACCATTATCCCCAATTTGCAACAGGCAAGGGAAACTTATTTTAGAAATATTATAGAAAAAGCCAAACATCATGATTTTCGTTTAATTGCACAATGTAAAAGCTGTCTACATGAGTGCTTATGTTGGGTCACGCTTCTGCCAAAATAGGGTCCCATTTTCAGTAAAATAGTGCTGATCATGAAACCATTACAGCAACCATCAATACAAATCCATAGCAAAATTTCTAGTCATTGAACAGATAAAGCTCAATTAACCATTACAGCAACCATCAATACAAATCCATAGCAAAATTTCTAGTCATTGAACAGATAAAGCTCAATTTTATCACTGGTCAGAAGCACATAAGAACTAATTCGACTATAATGACAGGGGAAATTTTAGTTCAACAAACTAACAACCAAAACCTGTGAAGTTCGGTAACCCTGCAACTAAGACCAGGAAATGAAGAAGCAACTGTGTTCAGCTCGATTTGAAGAAGTTCTTTGGTTGCAGAATCAAGCATGTAATCAGAGCGATGTAGTCCCAAACGTATATCCTGTTATAGTCATTAAAACGGCATCAGTATATTTTGGCAGCAGTTCTAGTTCCCATTTTTCATGTTTGATACTGTGTAATGACTGTTTATTTGTACCCAAGATTTTGATATATGCTCGCCAATCTAGCAAACTAAAGAATCTTTATAGAAAAATAGAACTATCTAAAAATTCTTATAAAAGAATAAACTAGTTGTACTTTTCACTGACCTCTTTCTTATTGAGTTCCAGCATCTTAGAATGGATATCTAGAAGCCTTCCTGTGAACTCATCCACTTTCTTAGTTCTGTAAAAGGCCAAAACCTAGAAATTATTAACACTTTCAAAAAATTGCATATTACAGGTTGATATGTAGATGAAATAGATCATTATGATGATTCTTAGGCCACTACATGATTGAAGAAGCACTACATGACTGGGTTGACAATAAAGATCTTTGGAAGCTCAAAACTTCCAATGCTACTTGGTACTGGACACCAGAGAAAGTTGTCCAGCCGTAGACACCATTTCTAAGACCATAATAGTAAAAAAACAATTTATCAAGTGCACAAACCACCCCACTGCCCCCCTCCCCAGGCGACTGCCCAAAAAATAAAATAAAATAAAATTAAAAATATCCTTTCTATAAACCACACAATTACAAACCAGATTTTTTATTATACAAATTCCAAAATATACTCGCGATTCACCCAAACAGAACTTTGTAGAGCTTCGGTCCCAACCCCTATACTGATACCAGCAATTCTCATGTTTGGATCATTCTCAAACTTAAAAGATATGGTGATGGTTGTCATAAGTGCAAATCTAAGTGGAACTATTACAGAATGCCCAAAGTTTCAATATAGCATTGGCTCCTTTTGGCATTCCTTATGAAATAGCCTTAAAGAATGACTCAATTACAGAAGACAAAATTGCAAGTTTCTTCCTCCCAAAAGTAAAGGTCAATCGCTTGATATAAGGAAGAAAGAAAGGACCTTGAAAGTGATTCCTGGATGAATTCAGCATCCAAACTCACACGATCCACAAGCTCATTGAAAAGTGGTGCCAGATCACAGGCTTGCCTCCAATCACTCTGAGGAAATGATACAGGCAAAAGGGAAACTGGAGCATGAACCATACCCACGCCAGGAACCTTTCCAGACATCTGCAAATACACCAAATTTAGAAATACCAGTTATTAAAGCGTTTCTGACTTGGGTTCACACTAGCCCAAGTCACTAGGACATGGCAGGGTGCCTGGTCGGAAACTTGGGATAATTACCCCTACAAATAGAGTGAGTCTGACATGAGTCCTGTAAGCCTTTGTATTTTTTAATTGAGGCTCAGCCTCGTCAGGCAATCTAACTCGGCAGAATCGGCCTCTGATTCAGAGTCCAAACCCGAGTTTTTACAAATCTCTAATCCTAAATTCCAGATGTCAAAATCCTACTGAGTTCAATAGTCATTCCACTTACTTTTCTTTTTAAAAAAGGTTAAAAGAAATAAATGAAACCGCTAAAATCCATATTGACAAGCAACCAAGTACAAGGATTATATGTGTGACACCTTCAAAAATGACAAAGGTGAACAAGAAAATCAACTAAAACCGAGAAGAAACATCCTCAAAGCAATGATTCCAATAGCCATGCCAGTTCTAGCTCATTATCATGCCTCCCTAAACAAAAGAACAAAAACTGAAAGAGATTATCTCCCTCAAAGCTTGTCCACAAGGTCTGAATTGATCACATGAGTAGTATCATAAAAAGAGAGCAATTTCGGTTCCTTTCAGAAAAAGCCAGTTCTTTCCATTGGAAAAAATATTAAAAAAAAGTTAATCTTTTTAGAAATAACATATACAGAACAAAGAATAGTAAATAAGAAAACAACTTCATTATAAGCAACGAGAGCCAGGTCAATGATCTTGAAATCCCAACTTCATTATTCATAATCAACAACACATCTCAGCCAATTCTACATGGAAAAAGCTCTCCAATAAGAATGATAAATAAAAAATTCAGAGAGAAAGTAACCAGTCATCAATCAATCGATTACACCTTAACTCACAATACCAAGCAAACTCATGAATAAATAAATATGAAGTACCTGAACATCTTTATCTCCTACAACCAACCCATGAAGAGAACTCCAAACCAGGGCCTCAGTAACCATCTCCTCTACCAACTCTTCAGGAATTTCATGTGAGTCCAAACCAGGCTTCTCAAAGACTTCATCTTTGGTTGCGTTCCTCATTGCATTCAGAGTTTCAGAAGGCAAAGGGGAACGAGAAAATGAAACAATGGGGTTTTCAGTGGCCTTGAGGAAAGTGTGGCAATGAGGTTGGAGAGATGGGAAACTGAGAGAGGTGGGGTTGAACAGGTGGGTTCTGTGTTGATTGGGAAAGTGAGAAGAAATGGTGGAAATATTATAAGTGGGTGTTGTTAAAGAAGGGGCAGAGATTGCCTGACCCATTTCTCCATGGGCATGGCTACTCTTGATAATGGGTTTCTGGTTTTCTCTCTCTAGCTACTCCTCGTGGTGGAGACCTCGTCCTTCTTTTTTATGTTCTCTCCACCAATACCAGGCCACTATTTTTTCCGCCACCAAAAACACTAGCTGACACCCTCTCCCTCTCTTCACCAACTCAAACACGTGGCAAGTGTCAGATAAGCGTCAAATTCTTCACTCTCGCACGACGGAAAACTTTATACAGAGCCTATCTCAAAGCTTTTATGTTTTGACGCTCAAATATCATCAATTTGATCATCTCGATAGGACACGACAAAAAACAATGGATTTTAAGGTTTCGGAAAGAACGCATTTTGTAACTCTTTTTTTTTACCATCAATTTTTAATATTTTCATGTTTTTATAGATCTACTCTATCAACACTATACTATTTTTTAAGTTTTCAATTTTAAAACTAAAGATAAAAATATAATTTAAAGCTATCACCAAACTTTCCAATATTTAAAACCATATTTATCACTACTATTTGAAGGTAGGCTCTAATTGAATTATTTAGAACCTCGGTTCTATACAAACCGCAACCCTGGCAAAAACATGCACGTTGAGTAAAAACGATCTCAACCAGGACGAAATACTTCCACTGTGGTATGAAAATGATACATTTTCCCTCTCATTATCTCTCTCTCGCTCTCGATCTCTCAATCGCTCTCGATCTCTCCAGTTTAGACTTTAGATTATACAATGTACATGTGTTAGTTCCAGATCAACCCCGACCCGAAACCAACCTAATTTGGACCAAAATTAGGTTGGGGCTCATCTTGTCTTGATATTAGAAAACATAAAATTTATATGTTTATTTATAAAACTATAGGAATTTTATTATTGATTCGTTGTAATATTACCTACGAATGCGGTCTGCATATAACGGTAGCAGTAAGGTCGCAATACTCTACACCATCCATTTTAATTAGATGGTGTAGATTAAAAATGTCTTTTAAGATAATTGTAAAAGGTATTGTATTTTTTAAGATAATGTTAAATCTATATCATTCAAATAAACTAAAAGAAGCATATTATTATAACTTTATTTTTACAAAAAATATTGCAACCTCATGTAAAAGTTTTTCACTACCTATATAATTTGATTTAGTTTCAAAAAACACATAAATGTTACAATTACTTGTACCATTTGATGTGAAATTGATAACTTAGGTGTGTTACAAAGTTCGAGAAAGCTTCTTTTGAAGTTTAGGCTTGGTCAATGGAATAAATGCAATCATCTAATTTCTCATCCAATGGTTAAGATCAATTATGACTACCTTGTACCAAAGACAAATGATTTCATTGTATACTTTTACAAATGGGGACAATATGCTATGAGACCATTAATTTTATTTACAAGGAGGTCATAATCATTTTTTACCATTAAATGTGAAGTCCAATAGATGAAATCATGTCACAACATTCAAAAAAAATTATTTCAGACTCGACTTAGGCAATGATTTCATGCAATCGTCGTATAGTAATATGATGCAACAACATTAAAAAATCATCTTATAGCCATTTGTTTGATCCAAATTTTGAAATATACACTCTTTTCATTCTAATGAACAATCACAAAAAAGGAAAATTTGAAAACACAACCTATAAAATATTTTTTTAGCTCAATTTACATAGGCCGTTCATTTTGGTGAGATGCTTAGATCTAGACCTTAAAAAGATTTTTTTCATTTCTAATTTCTTTGGATGGCTTTATTATGATGAACAATGGTAAAAAAGAAAAAAATAATTTTGAGTTTATAAAGGCTAATATCTTGAAATTCACAAAATCAATAGTCTAGATTTGTTTTTGGAGGGGACTCATTTTGACCATACCTAGGGTTTAAATTGAAGTTTTTTTTCTTTTTTGATTGATTATTGAGATGAAGAGTGTGTGTGCAAAATTTGGGGACATACAAATACCACAAACATGATTTTCTAAAAGTGTCGTTGCATTATACTATGATTCAAATGTTGCATTAGATCATTGCTCTGTAGATTTTGTACCCAAACAATGATACACCCTTAACCTCCCGATATCAAATCCAATAGTCAATTATAATTGTGAACTCCTTACATCAAAAGTAAATTATCTCAATGTATATATTTGTTTGAATAGATATAACCCGGAATGGATTTTGACCGGATCTAACTTGAGTTTTGTCAAAATCAAATGGACGTAGACCCGAGCCGTAAGGTCTATTATCTGTCCAGACTAGGACAAGGTAGGCTTACCCGACCCATTTTCCACCCCTGACCTTAAAAATGGAAAGCAAGATGCCTTAGCATATATGTATGGTAGGGTAGTCCCCAAAGTTTTCGAGCAATTATTTAAATGTGTTTTTAGATGGGATTTTCTAAATTAAATTTTCTATTGAGATGTTAAATAGTTCCATCTCAACACTTTTTGATATGGTTCCCATTTGATCTTGATATTCTAGACGTCTTTTGTTAAATTTCTTGAATTAATTTCAAAAAATTAATTGAAATAACCAAATGACACAATCAAATCAATTCATTTAGGCAAATTAGCTCATTTACAAGCACAGTCGTTTTATTTCACTTAAGTACCTATGTTAATTATTTCATTAAAAAGGAAAAAAGTTTATATAATGTAACTTATACCATAGAAAAAAGACATGCCTAAAAAATCTATCAAAAAAGGTTATTTCAACACTGAAAAACCTCCTAATTGATCACCTTGATAGGCATAGATGTGGAAAAAAAAATTAAATCTCAAAAATAGTCTTTGTAATACATTATCTAGACCATCTATTCTCAATATTTTTTAGATGTGCTTGTGTACCATTTTTTAATTTTCAAATTTCATAATTCAATGTAAAATAATTTTCCATGTCATCCTTGAAATTTCAAGACACCGAAATAAAAGAGCCTTGCATCTTACTTGGATTGCTTATTTGCTTTAAGGTGTTGATACTTTATACAAACTACACCCATTAGAAAGAGGGTGTGGTTTGTATATAACCAAAGCTCTAAACAATCAAATTAAAGCCCACTTTCAAATAGTATCGAGAAATGTAGTTTTAATATTGGAAATCTTTGTGATATTCTTAAAATAAAATTTAAAGTTTAAAAAATAGTGTAGATAGAGCAAATCTATGAACATTCGATAATCTTGAAAATTGACAGTCCAAAAATGTATTATACGATGCACTATTTTCAGAACTTGAAATCTATTTTTTTCTCATGTCCATGCATCTTGATGTCGAGATGATCAATTTGATGATATTTGGGCATCAAAACAACTTTTTATAGTAAAAAATTTTGAGACGAACTCTAATTTCAATGTTTAGAGCCTAGGATCTATACAAACTTTTCCCATAAAAAAATACCCAAAACTCTAACGGTCAATGTGAAAAAGAATAAGCTGGCACAAAACACTTGGGAGCAAATAGTAATTAAAGACGGGAAATTATTGTCTTGGATCTGAACACCTTCCGATGAGCTTTAGAGGTGTGTCCTGCTTTAATGGCTTTAAGTTGACACTTTCTATAGAGCCAAGGCCCTAAATAATCAAATTTGAGCCTATTTCAAAAATTTCATTAGAAGATGTTGTTTTGATGCTCAAATACCTTCAAATTGATCATCTCGACATCAAGAAGCATGGGCATAAGAAAAAACTGCATTCAAGTTTTGGAAATAGTGCATTTTGTAACACATTTTTGGACCGTCAATTTTCAAGATTTTCAAGTTTTCATAGATCTGTGATCTACACTATTTTTTAAGCTTTAAACTTTATAAATAAATTTTAAAATATATTTTAAGACCATCAAATATTGAAATCACATTTCTCAATACTATTTGAAGGTAAGTTCTAATTTGATTGTTTAGATCCTAGGCTCTATACAAACCGCGCCCTTATACAAATCATACCCATTAAAAAAAGAAAAAAGGTCTCAGATTAACAAAATTAAACTGCAGCTAAAGTATATCGGAAAATGTTATTTTGAAGTTGAAAAGCCGCGTAATTGATCATCTCGGGAGATGCATACAATTGAAAGAACAGAAAAAAAATGTTTTGAAGTCCCAAAAATACTACTTGCAACACATTATATTGACTGTCTATTTTTAAGATTTTTCATAGATTTAGAGCTCTGCATGATTTGATCTATTTTTTAAATTCAAAACTTTATAATTAGAGATGAAATTAGATTTTCAGACCATCCTATCATTTTCGACACCAAAATTGCTTCTTACAACAAAGTTTGAAGGTACAGCTCACTTTGATTGTTTAAAGCTGCAACCTTGAGCAAAAAATCACGCTAAAAAAGATACCCAAAATTCTCACGCTAAATGTAAACAAGTGTGTATCCTGATAAGTTGGCACAAAACAATATGACTAAGGCAAAAATAAGGTCTTGTCTCGGATCAATTTGTCTAAAAAGCCAGCGTTGATTCTTCAAAAGAACATTTCAGTTAATATATGATCCTTTTTTATTTATTTATATCTATGCTAATAGAATGGGAGGCGGGACATTACGTTGAGGCATCCAGCCCCCAACCAATTGTACCCAATCCCCATTTCCCCAGTATATGATCGAAGGGGCATCAAAATCAATCTACACTCGTGGCGTATGTTTGTGTTGAAAAGTTCATTAAGGCGAGTTTGATAACAGGGAGTTTGAAGAGGAAGAAGGAACTTTATCTATTAGTATTCATATTATGTTTTTGATAAAAAGTGGAAGATAAAATGAGAACTCTCAAGTGTTGAAGTTCCCACCTTTCAGGCTTGAGTAAAGTTCTATAGTAAACTATAGAACTTGAAAATGGAACTTTTTATTTTGTCCATGATATATATATATATATATATATATATATACATTATTTTATTTATATAATAGATATTTATAATATTATATAAAATATATATATACAATATATAATATATTTTTATTTTATTTATATATATATATATTAAAAATAAATATAAAAATACAGTATTTTCATATATTATAATATGTTATAAATATTATATATTTTCTATTTAAATTATTATCTATGTAAATAATCAAACAAAATCTATTAACGTTTTAGCTTCTCAGTGAGATTATCAAACACAGAAACTAAAAACTTTTTAAGTAACTTTTAATTTACAGTTCTTTAAGTAACTTTAATTTACAGTTCTTTAGTAACTTCCAATTTCCAGTTCATGCTCTTACTTCATGTTATCAAAAAAATATACCAAAAGATAAACTATTTAACAATGGGTGTGGTTTCTATAAGGTTGCAACCTTAAACAATCCAATTAAGGTGCACCTCCAAATTTTATCGTAACATGTAATTTTATTGTAAAAAATTCTTAAGATTATCTTAAATTTTATTTTCATATCTAATTAGAAAAGGTTAAACTTAAAAAATGGTTAAAATCAAAAAGATTTATAAACATATGAAAATCTTAAAAATGGACAGTCTAGATAATGTATTGCCAAGATACATCATTTCTGATACTCAAAATTTTTTTTATTTATTTTTATATTCATACATCTCGATGTCGAGATGATCAAATAGAGGGTTAGTCAACATTAAAACAACCTTTCCGGTAGATTTTTGAGGTGCGTATGTAATTCTACATTTTACGGTTGCAATCTTATATAAACTTTTCCCTTTTTAACAGTTTACTCAACCTCTATTTAATTTCATAAAGTTCATCCAAGTACCCATGATCACCAGTTGAAATTGTCGAAAAAAGTAAAATATTAAATGGTTGATCAGTGTTTTTTGATGGATTGCTTGATTGTTTTCTATGGGTTTCATTCCTCTTCCATCCAAAATTGGATCACACCGTTGTGACAAAAATTGATAACCTCTAGGCCTGACTGGGATTAGCATTTCATTTCCAGTTTGTGCCATTACCCATTGGGACGAATTAGGAGGGAAAATGTCGAATTAGTCAAGGAAAAGATTACACGAACCTTTCTTAGATCAAAATATACAAGTACTCCCACGGGTAAAACCCAGGTAAGAGGACTTTGTTGGACCAAGATTTCAACGATGAGTATAACTGAGATAAAGTATTTACTCCCAAAACATGGGTACGGTAGGAATATTTTAAAAAAGGGTAATATGCAATAAGAGCTGTCTCGTTTGTCAAATCTATAAGCTTTGGGTGTTGAGTCCAAAAGCCAAAATCGTTGACGGATATGAATCGTGTTATCCAAATCAAAAATCGCCCAAACGCTCCACCAAAATAGGCAAAAAAAAGGATTCAGACAGCTCCAAATAGTAGAATTGCCAATTTTTTTGCAAAATTGCCAATTTTGAAGAGTCCAACCAATTCTTCACCAATTACGATCAATACTTCACCGAGTAAAGCAAAAACAACAAACCAAAAAAGATTGAACAATCTTTTCTTAAATTACTTCTAAAAAAAAATGAAACAAAAATTACTGTTTCCACCAATTCCCCCGATCCAACCGGGATATGGGTGTGACCAATTTGAGTCACCGATCCGTTTTTTTTTTTTAACCTTGCCAAAAACCATTTGAACTTCGAGTCTTATCAACGACCGCAACACAAGCCACCAAGTTCAAATCTAATGGCTAATGATGATTGCAACCTCCTTGTATAAAAAAATTAATATTAATTATATATTTTAATTTTTGTAAATTATCTATCCACAGTTCGATGGTGTTTCAAATTTTCATATCGAGCAAATCTAAGGAGATGTGCACACGACAGAACTAGTAACAGCGGACACTTAAGTAGAAGGACAGGATTATACAATCCATCTCCAGAATTTACTCTTCCTCAGGCATGATCAGGGGATTTCCTTGTCCAAAAAGTATTAGATGGATTTTATTGCCTCCATGAACATTTACAAAACTAAAGAGGAAGCTCCAACTCAATCACCCCTTGTTGAATCTAGGCCACACAATAGGGTTTTATTCACTCAAATTTTTTCTTTTTTCAAATCAATTGACTATCAAATAAATATTTGAAAATCTCTAAATGAGAAACCACGTAACCTCATGAAGCAACCTCGAAAGCATATAGCATTTTCTTACAAGGAAAAAATAAAAAAATATGAGAAAAAAATTAAATAAAATCCATATAACTTTTTGCCCTTTTCTTACATTTTCAATGTGTTGCACTGTTAGTATGTTATTCTCTAATCATCTCAAGGAAGAAATCTCAAATCTTTTTTTTTCTCTCTTCATTAACTTAACTGATGGTTAAGCAAAAAGCTCTCAAATCACCATGACATTAACGTCCCCAAATGCACAAATTTTAAGGAGCCAAGAATATATCACAATAATTAATAAAGAATAAGAAAAGTGATCACTTTCTAGGGTGATCAAGAAAAAAGTATCTCATTTTCGATTTGTTTCCCTATTTTTTTGATACTAGGCAACAAAGAAATTAAGTAGGCACTTACATCTTCAAATTACAGCTCACAAAAGGCTCCAGTATGGTGAATTAATTGCTTATTCCAGGCACCAGGACTCAAACAAAAGATATAAAAAAAAAAAAAGGTCAAAAAAAAAAGTGAACGGAAAAAATTTAATCCATAGGACAAAATAATAGGAAAATAACGCAAAAAGGAAACGGCAAAAATAAGCAGGAAAATTATTACCCAAGAAGAAATTACAGGAAGGACAGCTGTTAAACTTTTGGTGATGCAGCATGCGGGCATTTGCCTAATGTATTCCACAAAATGTAATCACCAGATGAAGCCTGAAACAAGAATTAAGAGAATATAAGGGATTCAATTCAAATTTTCTAAGGTAAAGTTTCAGCGTGTCAACCATTGCACCTATTAAAATGTGTCCACCTTCCAAAGGCCATCTAGGGATGGGTTTTGGATCAAAAATTTCACAAGCCGACAATCTCAACCACAACAATCATGACTGAAAAGATAGATAATAAATTTTGAACCTTAAAATAATTTAAAATTACAGTCGATTTTGAACTTTTTTCTTTCTTTGGACAGATCACTTGAGTTCTTCGCAGATCATCAAATATGCAATTTTTTGGAACTGCAAATTCATGAATTGAATGGGAAAAACGCATTTTGTAATGATATTTTATAGGTTCATCATCATCATCATCCAAACCTTATCTAATTATTTGGATTCAACTTTATTTATAATAAGATGTGGTAAAGTTTTATGTTGACTGCCTACCTAACGCAACCGACATTCTTCACCCAAGCTTGGGACGAGTTAAGGGAAAGTTTAAAGTCCTCACCCTTATTAGTCCCTAAATCCATGGAAGCACAAGTAGACTCAAGGAATAGACACATAAGAAACCCTTTCTTTTCAAATAGTGGGGCTAATTATCACATTATTTGGGTCATTCTTTAAATTTTCCAACCAAAAAAAAAAATTTAAAATTAACCATAAAACAAAAACAGGTTCTACTAATTTGAATTTCGTAAAACAAAAATGCCACTGATGTTTTATTCTTTCAAAACTAGCGACATTTTAGTAGTTTTCTAGCTTCAAACTGTACTTTCCAAAATTTCCAGAATAAAAATAATATTGCCACCAGCCATTTTTTCAAAAAAAAAAAATGAAAATCAGAACAATGGATTCAAACATCAAACACAATGGTTGTAATAAATTTCACCGCACCTCTATGCTATGGCACTCAAAAAGTGTAACTGGTATTTGGTATGGCAAGAATATCTACAACTTTACCATTGTGTAACACAAGGAATATCAAGGAAAGAAATTTACAGGTTGAGTACTTTTCTTTGCCATTTTCTTTGTTAAAAAGATTTTGAAGCTTCAGATTGATTGCTCACCTGTGCGAAAAACTCCACTGGTGCTTTAACAGAGGGATAAATGTTTACCTGCATAACATTTGTAAAAATATTTTAGTACTAGTAAAAACACATGAAGACTAGTTGCTTCTATCACATAATGTGTAACAAGCAAAAAATCCAACAAGATCTGGATACAGGGAATGAATTAAAGTTAGAATAGTTACAAAAAAAAAATTACCCACATAAAAGATTTCATGATAATAATTTTCCATATTACAAATAATTCAAGGATTTCCTATTAGTATCATCTCATACTTGGCTGACAAGGATGACAAGACCAAGGTCCTTAGATCATCAAACAGAACTGATAAAAAAAATCCATTCCAATCTATTATTATTATTTTGAAATTTGTTAAAAATGGTTTCTCCCAGTGATGAAAGGTCAGACTTCTCTCCTGGACCCTTTCACAATCTCAGACGTCACCATTGAAACCCCCTCACAACCATGGGTAACATTCTAGTCTTAAGCACTCCTAGCTAAAAGCCCCTCTGTTCGAGTCCCCCTTTGTTTCCCTTCCAGCATGTAAAGCTTCTTATTAAACTCTGTTTCATACCATTGTTCCACCTGAAAAGATTCCCTATGTGCTTCCACCCATCTCTTTAAACCCAGCACTTCCAACCAGATGTTTTCAAATCTGAACAACATTATACTGCAACACTTTTCGAGGGAAAACACTAGATGGTAAGTCTCCATATACAACATCCATAAGAAGTGGACATGGTACAGAACAGGCCTAGGAAGGGGCATTAGACATCTCACAGAAGCTCCACAACCCATGCCTTCATTTGCACAACCACAAGGCTCGTGATTCATGCATATAATTGAGGCCATGAATAAAAAATGTCCCATATAGAATGTTCAATCTCGGTAGTGTACTGTAATAGTTGTAATAATCATTGGGTCCTCTTAATAATTAAGTATATGCTCACTTGAAAAAAAATGTATGTGTTTCTCTCACAGAATATAAAAAGGTCATCACGCATGAACCGTCCAAGCAACACCATGCAAAAAACACAGCTAGTGACTTACTGATTTTGGATCAATGGACATTCCTGATAAAGTTCCTCCTAATATCTTGAAAGAAACCTGAGAGATACAATAAGGAAAGAACAAAAAGGACAAAGTGACATGTTAATAGACAGTAAAATGTGAATAGGCCTTTCAGCAAAGCACAGCACAGCAGATAAGCACAAATTTCAGGTAACTCCAATGTCGAGACAGTGTGTGTGTGTGTCTATTATGTCTGCACAAACACATAAAAATGTCAAAAATCTACCTGTAATACAAGCCATAGCCTTGTTAGTTGTTTCTTAAAAGGAAAAAGTTCATATAGAGCCGAGGCTCTAAACAATCAAATGAAAGCCCACCTCAGAAATTTTGCTAGAAGAGGTTTTTTTGATGCCCACATATCCTCAAATTGATCATCTCGATATCAATACGCATGGACATGAGAAAATAATGGATTTCAAGTTTTGGAAATAGTGCATCTTGTAATGCATTTTTTGACAGTCAATTTTCAAGATTTTCAAGTTTTCATAGATTTGCTCGATCTACATTATTTTTGAAGCATTAAATTTTATAATTAAATATGAAAATATATTTAAGGCTATCACAAAGGTTTCCAGTATTGAAACCACATTTCTTGATTTAAACGTGCGCTTTACTTTGATTGTTTAGAGCCTCGGCTCTATACAAACCGCATCCTTGTTAAAAACCACATGAGCACACATGATGTGTAAGGCTCCTTATCTTTTCTTCTTCAGAAAGGGTATAACAATGAAAAGCAACATAAGTGAATACCCAAAGTCGAGGAAAATGGGAGAATACGACAGCTGAAAGCAGTCATATTTCACATTTGTTTTGAGAAAAGCAAAAGATCCCAAAATACTCGGCACATATATAAATACTGAAATTTCTTTGAGGCAATAGGAATACATCACGGTGACGAACAGTAACTAAAAAGAACTATTAGAAACAGTATTACATACAGAGCATAGTAAAGAACAATAAACAAATATCGAGTAGGTATACCAACCTAATAACAACAACCAGAAATATTGAAGGTTTCGGCAGAAATGAAAAGTTGTCGTGGCAAAGAAATAAACATTGACAAGTCAACTAGCCAATTTCTGAACAAGCCATTTAAGGAAAACTCTCAAGGGGTCAATGATATTTCCACTTTACATTCTTAAAGGCACACACATTATCTTCAGTTAAAGATACTGAGAAATACAAAAAAATTAACCCATTGATCAGCAATATGAGTCTAGAACTTTGGAATTATCCTATGCTCCAACATTTGGAAAGATGACTATCACATCCTCATCAAATTTAGAGTTATTCATAAAGTTCTCCTGGCAAAAAGACAGGCAAGTCACCCAGAAGACACACAGAAGCACCGAGAAGACATCAGAAATCCTTGAATTAAATCAGAGATAGAAGTAAAACTTTGTATATACACACAATCTTGATAAGCATCACAAAATGGCTTGAAACAGAGAAATAGGAGTGTTTTTAAGAACTATATATCAAGACCCAGGAAAGCAGCAAACAGATTGGAAATCATCCCAAAACTGGTAAAATGAGGGCATCAGTCGATAAGCTTACTTTTGCATAGTTATATGCTTCCCAGCAAAAGGGCTCTTCAAGATCAACAGCAGGAAGGTCCTTGTTCATTTTCTCCATCAAAAACTCTTCCATATTAACCATATTAGTCGAGCTTTCAACTTCAACATCACTATCTTCATCAAATACAGAACCTTGAATAGACTTGGAAATAGAAGATAATGTTTGAGCAGGTCTTGATGCAAACCTAATAGTTCCTGGAAATGTTGCCTCTATGCTTTTCCCAGCCACACCTCTTCCACTAGTGATTATCTTCCATTCAATCGAGTGTTCTGTGGTAGTTACAGTCCCTATAGATGGATTTCCATCAAAAGAAACAACTCTTCGTCGTGGAAAGGGCATTGTTACTGTACAAAACTCCATAGTTAGGGGAGACCTATAACCCTCCATTAATTTTAGCTTGAAAAGAAAGGCCCCTTCATCTTCAGATACCATTGAGAGCTGGTAGAAGCCTTTTATAGGAGGACCTAAGCCACAAAAGGCCTGATAACGCAATAATAAAAAGTTTCCTAGTGGAGGTGAAAACATTAGAGATTGCTTATCCACACCCTGTTCAGGGACCTGAGCACAAGGATGAAATGATAGAACCTCAATGCGTGCTGTGTTCAACCCAGTCAAAGGGAAAGATATATCCGGCAAACCTTCCAACTCAGCTCTACAATTTATTTGACCTGAAACTGATATAGTATCTGGAATTTCATCCCGATCATACATTGCAGCATAAACAGTTTCATGAATTGTAAAAAGTATACGTTGCTTTCCTCTGTAAAGATAAGGCTTCCAAGCTGGCTGCTTAAGATCTGAAGGTGGTACATCTGAAGCCGAAAAACCATTGGCCTTGATGGCAGATATATTGGAGAAATTGAGATCCAATGGTGTCCCTGTACACATTGAAAAACAGTTGAGAATCACTTTAATTAGCACTTAAATTTACTTAATATAACAAGCACAACAGGTCTGCATTTAGAAAACGAAAAGGAAATTTGAGATGAGAAATACCAGAACAGAGAGTACCGACCAAAGGGCATTGAGCTGCTTATAAAAGTTCGCAATGCGTCTTTATCAATTGGTCTCGAACTGCTTTTTGGAGCATCTGATGTTACGGCACCTACCACTGCATTGCCAGCCATCGTGGCAGCAGCTACAGGTGCAGCTACAGGCTTTGCCCTAGCCGAAATGCTTGATATCCCAATGCTTCCAGTTAAAGAATCCAATAAGCCTCCAACTGAAGGTGATGGATTGACAACCACCTCGGGTTCTAAGAAATCACCAGTCATTACATCTCCCAGTGCATGTGCCACCATAAATGCCCTATGCAAATCCATGATACAGTTATTAGACATAGAATATATATCCAGCTAACCTGTAGACTCAACGGTAGATTAAAAACTCTAACCAGGATTAGCTATTCCATAAATCCATAGAAATTACAGCTTCAAAGAAACTTACCATACCCTGTGATGCATGGAAGATCAAGTAGATTGGAAGATAGATTTTCAGAAGGAACTCCATTTTCCACCGTTCCGCTTGAACTTCCACAGTCAGGTCTCTGGGACAATCTCTCATACATTTTCACATACCGAGGTTCAAGAAAAGGTAAGATAAGAATGCGGTATAGGCCTTTGATGTGCAAGATAACAGGCCATACCAAATAATTTTCTGCTTCCTCTTCTTTGTTAATGTGAAGGCTAATAATGTGGCGAGTGATTGGATCATCAACCCAAGAATCCGATCCTTTTAAAGATAGGCCAACACGTAAACCATAACCACGAACCGAACCTTCCCTGCAGAAGAAATGTTGTAGAGTCAATAATAACGAACATTGAAGCAGATCACAACTGTTCCATTCGTACTCCGTCAACATGTCAGAAAAAAAAGAGGGGAAGGGGGGGGGGGGGGGGGTGGTCAGGGTTTGATAGATCACAACTGATGGAACAATGATGCCAAGGAAGACAACTAAAAGAATCCACTAGTAGCAAATCAATAATGATCAAGATTGAAATGGACCAGTCACATAAACATACTGGTGTTCCCTGAAAAATGTGTGATTTCCATATATGTTGGCGCATATCTGGTATGTATATGCAGGAAATCAGAGAGCTGACCACTTTTGATGGTCGGTACTCTGTCCCCTTTTTCTTCTATCCTCCTTCCCTAAGAGTGTTATTCTAGGTCTTTTTGTTCTGTTAGGAACAGATGTGTAATTAATTCTCTCCTTAAGATGATGGTATCTCATGTAAAACAAATGTATTGATGTGAGTGATGATGCTGTCTTTCGAAAAACAAGCGTGTGTACAGGTGTGCATCGGTTTGTCTAAGAGAAATGTTTGAACTCTAAACCTCCCTCATATAAATTAGATACATTTTCACCAGATTTAAAACACACCAGTGCCACCACTGCAAGTCTGCATACATGTGTGAACTGTGAAGCGCTTGCTTGTCTACCTCTGGGTATTCTATGTGCAAGTGGTTACATATAAGCTTTGAAAAAGTATCCACTAATTCAAGATTAACAAGCTCACAAACAAAATTAAATCATGTAAATAAGAAATTTCTAAAGAAAAAAGTCATTCTATTCCATATGGATAACCTTTCCTTTTACATGTATTTCATCAGTATATTAATTTATCAGAAAAAGAAAAACATGTGGAGACCATTAGAAACATAAAAAGTAATTCCAGAAGTAACCCATTTATTTCATACGAACTCGTCATGTATTGCAGATTTTGGTTAAAAAACAGCGATGACAAATGGAATCAATCGAAAATGACAAAGGTCCACAGTTGTGAAAATTGAGCAAATAATAAATGTTTCTGTAAGAAATATACGTATAGGTTTTCTATTTTCTGATAAGGGAATGATATGGCTAACCAAAAGACAAAGAGAAGGTAACATAGAAACAAGTAATATATTCCACTAACCTCTGCTTTCTCTCTATAAAAGCAGCAGCTATCTCCCCATCACTTGGCAGCAATGACAAGACACTATATTGAAACTTTCCCTCTTCTAAGCTATTATCTTCACTCTTACAAGCCAAGCGCCATCGCCTTTCAACCACTGGAAATCGTCTACATATCCATTTCAGAATTCATTAAGTGTTACTAAAAAATTCAAGACTACATAACTAGAACAAGAATATGTGTTCCTACATAAAAAACCGTATCTCCAAATTGTGTCCATATGCATGCACATAATATGCATAAACACATGTATAAAAAGAAAAAACATGAAAAGAAGAATAAATAATCTACACAAGTTCTTTCCCACCCTTTATGGTAAACCTACATTGCTAAGCATCAATCATCTTTACATGTGCTCATTTCCCTTCTTGGACCCATTTTGTTCATACACCTATTTGTTCTGTTTTGTTCCTTAATCATCCACTTTATAATATTTACCTGTTGTTAACTGTTTTTAATTGAACTTCCTACCCATATTTTTTAGTTGTTAACTCCACACGCAATCCTCCATTTCCTTTTTTACTTTGAAAAATTCATCATCCCCTTCTTTTGATATCATTGAATCAAAAAACATTGCTGTGCAGGGTATATGAAAGTCCCCAAGAAACTTCTGTGTGAACAAGAGAGGGAGAAAACCAGACATTATCTTTCTTTAAAAAGCAAGCGACTTTGGAAGTAGGAAGGCTTGTGAGGTACCTATAAAATTCCTGCAACTAGACTGGGTGTGCAAGTTCATGCATGTATATGTGTATATCTGCACAAAGCATGCATATGTAGACAGACCATATATTTGTGGATGTATGTATACACACATTCACACATCGTGCAAAACAAGACCAATTTTTAATGTTTTAGCCTGAAGAAGGTCACTCAAAAGTATATAATTGCTGAACAATTGAAATTGACAAACTACGATGAGTGATAAAGACACTCAGTTCAAGATATACAGGTTCTTCAAAATAAGTGATCATCAAATAGTTGATATACAAAAACAAACGTGTATAGTTGTGTATACTTGTGGTAAATAATTTAAATTATGAGAGCAAGAGTTTCTATCTAAGAGGGAAAAAGAACGATTGTCTGATTTCATGTAAGGTGGGTAAATGAAACCTAAATTCAAGGTGAATTCAGGTGATTTGAAACATGCAACATGCATCCAATAACTGCAACAAGGGGGGAGAAAACATAAATGAACATATCATCACGCCCAAAAAGACCCTGTGGTACCACATAAAACCAGATAGTTACAGCATAAAATGCTGGGGAGGCAGATTGCGATGGCAGAGCATCGGAACCATGTATGTTTTATAGGAAACAGATGGGCCATACTTCAAATGGAAAACAAATGCAATTAAAAGATGAGCCATACTTCAAATGAAACTAGAGAAAACCTGGACTAAAAGCATGGGACAGTAAAGTAACCCAAACTCCAACTTCCAGAGAACGAGATAAATAAACCTCAGGAACAAGATGCTTTAGCTGGAAAATACAACGTTGTCCCAGATGCTGTGAATTGATGCTGAGGATTCCCAGATCTTTAATGCTTCCATCCAGCAATGCATTCAGGGTTGGACCCTAGGCTCTTTAAGTTTAAGATTAATACTCGGGAACTGCATGGAAAGTTCAGAAGTTTTGGATGTAGAAGATTCAAGGGTATCAAATGCCAAGTAGAAACAGAAGATCTTTGTGTTGATATCTACAACCCTAGACAATTGAAAACAGCTACCACTCCAGTACAATAATCCACATGACTACAATGACTTCAAAGAAATCTAGTTTCACTATTTACAAGTTATCTGACTCAGTGTTTTAAAGCAAGGACTTGGGTTGGGACTTACTGGGTTCCCGAGCCCGAGCCAGGCAACTCAACTCAACCGAGTCTGCCGGAGACTCAGCAAGAGAGTCAGTCGAGTCTTGAGAATATTAACACTAAAATATTGGGAACCAGTGAGACTTGTCCATTGACAATGTTTTTCTTTGGGAATTGGCAGACTGCGGAGTCCAAGTAACTCAGGCAAGTCCGAGTTATTAAGACATGCTCAATTCTTATTTAATGTATATATGTATAAAACCATTGTTTGGTCTTGGTTCATTAGTTCAAGAGCATAATTGTCCATTCCCATTATGGGAACATATATGTATCAAAAAAGAGGGGCAATGAAGGCAATAAGAACTTTTTCTTCCTGCCCAAAACCTTGAGATGGCATCAGAGCCACGGTTGAAAATGAAAGAGTGGGAGCAACAGAGCACTCAATCCTCCAATCTCTATCACCTATCATCTATCAGGATCAAAATTTCTCTTAGCTATTCATTGCTACAATATCCTCTCCAAGCAAGAAGAAAATCCCTATATTGTTTGCTTTGAAGAAGCATCTCCAAAATCAAAGATTAGGCAGCACCTCATATGTGAGAAATTCCAGCACAAAATACAAAATCCAAGATTAGTCATTCAAAAGGTGTGGAAATTCTCACTTGCAAGTTCTTTCTCTCTCTAGAAAAAAATTCTTCTCCTTGAACCCTGAAACCTTTTTTCTTTCCATATGAACTTCTCTTTATCCTCTTTTTTCTACCATCTTCTCCACACCTAGACCAATATATTATCATAAATTGCAAAATTGCATTAAAAAAAAAAAAGTTTGCCCATCTACCTCATTTCTCAAGGCATCATCAAATGTAGATGCTCTGTTATCCATTAAATCACTCAAACTACCTTTTATGGAAAAAACAGTTTTTCCAAGTTTTTCACAAGCCAAAATATGGCTGGATTTCTTGATGGTACAAAGCCTTGTCCTCCTAAATACATCTCAGAAAAATCCACAACAAGATCAAATCCAAGAAACACCTCAACCTAATCCAGAATATGACACATGGATAAGCTGAGATCAACTTGTGGTTAGTTGGCTATTTGCTTCTACATCCCCAAATGTACTTGCAGATGTCGATGATCTCCCAACTGCCCTAGACACTGGGTTGCTCTAGGAAAACTATTTACCGAAAAATCAAAGGTCAGAGAAATGCCACTCCGCATGGACTTACAAAACTGGGAGTGTGGGTCTCCATCCATCTTTAGTACTTTCAACGCTTCAAGGCGAAATGTGATGATCTAGCTGCTATACAGAAAGCTGTATCCAACGAAGATAAAGTCATGTTTATTCTAAATGGGCTTGGGGAGGAATACAAAATGATTGTCACATCACTTATTTCGAGACCTCCTTGCCCTTCCTTTGAGGATTAACGCCCTATCTTGCTCAATTTTGAGAGCATGTTTGTCAATACCCCAAAGTTAGAAAACAATCCACAACCTCTTGCATTTACCTTCATCGTAAGAGCCCCAAGAGCACCCTTCTCATGGAGCGGACAACAGAGCGCACATGATTGGCGTGGAAGTAGATGCTATAAGCAAGGAAGGGATTGAGGGCTTGGCATCGGAGACTTGGCAATCCTAGTTTGAAGACCCTACAAAGACTGGGATGCTGGCGTAGTTTCATTTAGTACTACTCAGTTTACTTCACTATGCACTACTCGTCAATTGGGAAAGCATGCATAACTCCCGTTCTCATTGGATAATCATGATGAAAATGTTACTTATTAACCTTTTCACTTAATACATGATGATGATTGAGGGCCTTCACCTGTGGATACTATGAATGGATACCGTTATTATGATTCTTCTATTGATCAACGCAGTAGATATAGTTGGTTCTTTCTTATGAGACATAGAACTGAAATTTTTGAATGTTTTAACCTATTTCATGCCAAGGTTAGAAACTACTTAGGAAGACACATTAAATTGTTGAGATCTGACCACAGGGAAGAATATACATCAAATGATTTTTCAAAATTTCCTAAATGATAATGGAACCCAGCATCAAATTTTCATGCACATATACTCCACACCAATATTGGTCACTAAGCGAAAAAATAAACTCATTGTAGAGACTGCTTTATCATGATGCTTGATTCTCATACTCCTTATGGGGAAAGGCTTTCTTAAGAACAGTCCATCTTTTTAATCGACCCCCTTCTTCAATACTTTCAGGAAGCATATGTTATTACTATAAACTTTATGAATCAGTGATGACTAGTAGATTGTGCATCTTTGGCTGTACATGTTTTGTGATATTGATTCTTCCCTTCACAATAACCTTCAGCCTAAAGCACATCGAAGATTGTTCAATGGTTACAGTCCTGACCACAAGGCTTACAGATGCTATATTTCCTCAATACGAAAAGTGATAAGTTCACGCCATGTTACATTTGATGAGGCTAATCCATTCTTACTCCAATACTGATATAAATCTTTCCTTCACATCATTTATTTCAAAGTATATAGACATCAGTGCAGGGGAAGAATATGGAAAGATGAATGCACCATCGCCTCTTCAACCTCTTCCTATTGCAAGGACTGATGCTCCACAAGCACAACCCAACGAGGTAAATACATCCCCATGGGAGAGGTCTGGTTCTGACGTCTAAGCAGTTTCCAAGCCCAGCACCACCTCTTCGATTTACATATCAAAGGAGACATGTGGAAGGGAGTCAACATGTTAGAAGATATACTATCTCAGATAACACTGTGTCATCTTCTCACACCACATTATTGTCTTCCTCTCCCATCAATCTGAAGAGATCAGATTGTACTCGACACCCAAGCTCATGCTCCCTAGTGGATCAATACGACTCCTTCTCCAACTTCTCTGATGAGCATGGAGCTTTCATGGTGGACGTATTGAAAGAAAATAACCAATATCATATGAAGAAGCATTTCAAGATCAATGATGGAGAAAAGCCATGGAGGAATTGAGCTTTACATAGAAATGAAATACGGGTGGGAGCTAGTTCCACTACCTCAAAAAAAAAATGTGGTGGGCTCCAAATGGGTTTACAAAGTAAAACACAAACAAGATGGAAGTATTGAGAGATTCAAAGAACACCTGGTGGCCAAAATATATAACAAAGGATATGGAATATAATATGAAGAAACTTTCAACCCCATGGTCAAAGCTGCAACTATAAGGGCTATTATTGCTTTGGCGTTCCTAAATGGATAGGATCTAAACCATTTGGATTTTAAAATGCATTTCTCCATGGAAAATTAAAGGAAGAAGTCTACATGACACGAACTCCTGGCTTTGTCAATGACAAATTCCCTCACCATCTATACCGACTTAGAAAAGCCATATATGGGCTAAGGCAGGCTCCCAGGGCCTAGTTTGCAGATTCTTACACGTTAACAAAATGGAGGGGTTCACTCAGTTTTGCAGATAACTCTCTTTTCATCAACAAAGGAAGCTCAGGTATAACCCTCATACTAATGACATGATTATTACCGGAAGTAACAAGTGGGATATCGTAAATCTAAAAGCAAAGCTGCACTCGTCCTTGAACTGAAGGACCTTGGGAACTTAGAATATTTCCTTAGCATAGAAGTACATAGATTCTTATGAGATTTACTTTTATCTCAGCAAAAATATGCTATGGAGTTGCTTGAGAAGTTTAACATGTTGGATTACAAACCATTAGAAATCCCAGCTCAAGTGAATCTAAAACTCCTAGCCTATGAAGAAATTACTTCCAAGTTCCAAATGCTACTCAATATAGAAGTCTGGTCAATGGGCTTCAATATCTCATCTACACAAGACCAGACATTGCATATGCAGTCAATACAGTGTGCCAACATATGCAAAGTCCAAGGAAATCGCTCCTTGAGGCTATAGAAAGAATATTGAGATATGCTAAAGGAACACCAAACTCTTGTCTTCTATATGTCTCACAAGGTGGACTAAAATCAAAACCTTCTCTGATGCCGACTCGGAAATTTGTCCTGATGATAGAAGATCACTTGCATGATTTTGTATATTCCTTGGAAGAAATCTTGTTCCATGGAGTAGAATAGAGCAGAAAAAATGAGCATTCACTTGGAAAAACCAACTACTATATATTGTGATAACCAAAGTGCAATCGAGATATCATAAAATCCAATACAACATGGGAAGACCAAACATCTTGGAGTTGATCATCACTATTTACGAGATATGGTTTGTGAAATTACTGTAAAGTTTATACACACATCAAATCAAGTTGCAGACATTATGACCAAAGCTCTCAACAAGAATAAATCCTCTCATGATAAAGACAAGCTTTCTATGCTGCCATGTCAGCTTGAGGAGGAGAGATAGGACATGCTCAATGACGGGAATGAGAGCTTTTTCTTCATGCTCAAAACCTTGAGACGTATAGGACTCACCGAGTTTTCCAACATTAATCTCACTAAAGCAGGGTTTAAATCTCCAGAGTAATAATCAAATTTTTGAGAGAGAAATTAACCGTCTATGTATTTCTTAGATGATTTCCATTATCGAGATGAATTTGCAACAACAATAATAAATAGATTAATAGGTAGATAGATAGATAGATAGATAGATAGGGAGAGGGAGAGAGTAGCCATTTGATGTCCTTAGAAGTAAACAAATCGTCCCAATCACTGATTGTACAAATGCAACATGGAACCAAATTAAACTGATTTTTCCTCAACAATCACATCTAGATAGATATAAAAATAGAGAGAGAGAGAGAGAGAAGAAAAAAAAAGAGAAACATAAATTAGAAATCCACATCTGATATTGAGTGAAGTAGGAAAGAAAAAATGAAACTTCTATCAGTAAACGTACGGATGCAACATAACATCTAATGAAACCATATATTGCAAAGCAGTGCCCATACTCACGCTATTGTTTCTATGGAAAAGCCATATAATACCCTACAGTTTCAGTTGAGAGAGATAAATAAAATTCACAATAATAACAAATGAACCTAAACTTCCATTGAAGATCCAATTGAACCACTTGAAAAGAAAAAAAAAAAACTGAAACAGTAGAATCCATAAACTAACAACACAAAAACGCAAATAAATAACGGATCCCACAAATAGACAAAAAAAAAATATGAATTAATAAAGAATTTACCTGGAATAGACAACGTTGTCCAGATTGTTGAGGATCCAAATGGCCCTGATGCTACAACCTGGCATATCTTTCAGAAAATGACACCTAAAACCCTGAAACAACCCTAGAACACAGTGGATATTACGCAGAGTAAACCCTAGCTCTCAGAGGTCGTCGACCGTAAAAATTGGAAAGGCGGGAGTTTAGAGATAATGAAATGGATTGTGTTGGTATTTATAGACGTTGCGCAATTTGATGGTCGGCTTGGCTCATGTTAGAGAGAGGAAGGAGAGTGAGAATTAATGCTTGGTGTGGCGCACATTTGAGAGAGAAAGTAGAAGGAGAAAGAGCGGGTGCATTCCCTCCAAAAATACTGCGGTTTGTCCTGCACGAGCCATAATATCCGAGAGCAAGTTTAAGGATCGTGTCCGCTTGCACGTGCAAACTACATCAAGACTCGGGCAGTTTACACGTGGAAGCTGCAAATGGGCCGGGTTCGATGCCAACGGTGCGGCCAGTCCGAATTTTATAAACAGCACCAAGTGCAGGCCCCGTCCATAGGGTTAGTAGGTGTCTCTGTAATAATTATTTCCGATAATTTTTATATTTTTTTTCTTCGTTTTTGTTGTCACAATGAGCTCTACTCTGAAACTAAATTTAAGGGAATTTTATCAAAAATACTTGTGAGAGGTGAATTACTTAACATTTTACCAATTTACGGCTATTGCAAACCATAATCATATGGATTTTGATGAGTATTTTACAAATAAATCAAATAGTATGGGTATAATGTTCAACGATTCATCTTTCATTGGTATTTGGAAAAAGGATGCAGTTTCTATGAAGCCTAGGCCTTATGAAAAACAGGTAAAGCTCCTCTGGAAATCTTGTTCAAAGAGCACTTCAAAAAGCTTAGAAACATAAAAAATACCTCTCTATTTTTCTATATCCCGATGACGAATTGCTCGGAAACATCAAAGATATCCTCTCTGTTTTCGAATAAGCATAGCATAGCTCTACCTCTGTCCCTACTCATTTTTTTCTCTCATTCTCTCTCTAAACTATCAAAAATCTAGTGTCTAGTATAAGTTCCAAGCTAGGGTGCATAAAGCTTAGAAACATCAAATATACCTCTTTGTTTTCTTATATCCGATGATGAAGTGTTTTTCTTATGCACATCAAATAGAATATCCAAAGGGGGTAAATATCATCTTGAAATATTGCTCATGCATGCTCGAAAAAAAAGAACTCTTAAGACCTTTAATTTTCTAAAACCGTGCCATCTTTTGCCCGCAGTTCACCCACCAATTATTCAACAATTCAATAGGATATTTCATAGGTGAAAAAAGGAGACGTTTTTTAAAGTCATGAACCATGATTTTACAAGACTCGACCGCTTCAATGGCCTGAATTTCAAGAGATGACAACAGAAGGTCATCTTCCTACTTACTACTCTCAAAGTGGCTCACATAGTCACCGAGTCTATGCTTACATAGTCACCAAGCCTATGCCTACACTACTGCCTCCATCTAATGACTCAACCGAGGAGCAAACTCAAGGCTGCAAAATATGGATGAAGGACGACTATATTTGCAAATGACACATCATCAATGCTTTGGAGGACCCGATCTATGATATATATGCACCCATTGACACGGCGAGAGAGCTGTAGAAACTACTTCAAACCAAGTACCTCACGGAAGAGTCTGGTAATAAAAGGTTCATTATTGTTAATTTTACAGACTTTAAATTCATTCAAAATAAACCAATTATTTCTCAAGTTTATGAATCGCAGCTTGTAGTCAATGAACTGAAAGATTATGGAATTTTTCTATTAGGCTTTATGATTCGTAAGCTACCCCCATCTTGGATAGAGTACAAAAAGAAAATGAAACATAAAAAAATGGACCTTGATTTGGTTCAACTTCAAATATACCTTCGAATTGAATAAGATAATAGACTTAGGGAAAAGAAATACGAAACTATGAATTTTCATACTAAGGCAAACTGTGTTGAGCAAAAATCAAATGCTCTATATAACAATAAGCCTTTATTTCCTATGGTCCATATAAAATTATCAGAACAAAAAATCTAATGTTAGTAAAAATAAAAATAAAAAGCATAATGTTGTGTATGTGAAAAATTATGGCACTATTCAAGAGAATGTCGACACCGAAAATGGCTCAAAAGGTTTAGACACCAAGCGAACATGATCACTGATGAACAATTTATAGCAATGCCCACGAAAGTAAACATGATCGATAAAGATAATAGATGGTGGGTCGATACCGGTGCTACCTTTCATATATGTTTAAGACCTTCGAACTAGTGGGTGACGATAATTTAGTTTAGCTTAGAACCCAAGTCGTGGCTAAAATGTATGGAAAGGGAACGATGGAACTAAAATTTAGTTTGAACAAGATTTTAACCTTGGAAAATGTGTATTACGCACTGGATATGAAAATAAATTTTGTTTTGGGATGTATCTTGAACAATAAAGGCTTTAAAATGGCTATTGGGTATGATAAATTCATATTAACAGTAAATGATGTATTTGTTGGCAAATGATACTCTTGTGAAGGGATGTTCAATTTTAATTTAGTGATTGAGATGTTCAATTTTAATTTAGTGAATGGAATAAATAAGTCTTCTGATTATATTTTGACTTATTGTAATATGTGTTATGATTATATTAAATATTTGGTTAAATTATGATTGATATCTAATTGTAATGATTTATCTAAAGAAAAATTTGAAGTATGTGCGCAAGCAAAAATAGCTAGAAAATAATTTCCGTCAATAGAAATAAATAGTGAATTGTTAGGACTTATACATAGTGATATATGTGATTTAAATAATATTTCAACTAGATGTGGTGAAAGATATTTTATTACTTTTATTTATGATTTTTTTATATATGTTTATGTTTATTTGCTTAAACATAAATATGTGACTTTTGAAAAATTTGAAGATTTCAAAGCGGAAGTTGAAAATCAATTAAGTAAAAGAATTAAAATCAAAAGAAGTGACAAGGGTGGAGAATATTCATCAAGTAATTGCTCATTATACTCCTCAGCAAAATGGATTAGCATAAAAGAAAAATAGAACTTTAATTGAAATAGTAAATGCTATGTTGATTTCTTCTTCATTGCCATTGAATTTATGCTGTGAAGCTTTATTATCTGCATGTTTTATTTTAAATAAAATTCCATATAAAAAAGTGATATGATCGCTTGAGTTTTGGTTTATTATAAAACATGTTTTGAATTTTTTTCAAAGTATGGGGTTGTCTTGCTTATGTTAGACTTCCATATCATTAAAAAAAAACAAAGAGTTCCTATAACCACAAAATATGTTTTTGTGAGATATTCACAAAATAGTAAATGTTATAGATTTTTGGATCTAAATTCTAACACAATAATTAAATCTAAAGATGTTGATTTTTTTGAAATTCTCACTTGTAAAAGTGAATTAAATGAATCAAGTAGCTTGCCAAATGAAAATAATAATGAAAACCCTCCCAGCCCTCATCCCTTTCACAGCGGATTTTTCTTACGACGACAACAAGACGCCCTAATATGGCATTTCCTGCAGGAACATCCACAATGATAAAAATATTGATGAAGAACATGTAGAAAATAATGTTGAAGATAAAATGGAACTAAAAACAAGTAAAATAATTAGAGGTGATCCATCTTTCAACTTTGGACCTGATTTTTATATTTATTGATTGAGGCTAATCAAAATAAGATTTTAAATTCTATACCTATTATCTCAAATGTGGAGGAAGATCATACATCACTAAGTGAGGCATTAGCATCTTAATATACAATTTTTTTTTGAAGATAAGTTATAAATAGTGACATGGACACCGTAATAACTAATAAAACTTGGAAATTAATAGATTTTTCACTTAGTTCTAAATTCATAGGTTGTAAATAGATATTTAAAAGAAAAAATAATGATGATGGTTCTACTAATAAATATAAAGTAGGATTAGTTGCGAAATGATTTAAGCAAAAAGAAGGCATTGATTATTTTGACACATATGCACCTGTGACATGAATTTATACTATTAGATTGTTCTTACCAATAGCCTCTATTAATCATCTAGTAATACATCAAATGGGTGTAAAAATTGTTTTCTTAAATTGTGACATAGATGAAGAAATATATATGCAACAACCCAAAGGGTTTGTGATGCCAGTACATGATAACAAAGTTTATAAATTAGTTAACTCTTTTTACTGATTAAAACAAACACCTAAACAATTGTATAAACAATTTGACAGTGTGTTGATGTCAAATAGTTTTAAGATAAATGAGGTTGATAAATATGTCAATAACAATGTTTTAAAAAAGGGAAAATATTTTTATATATCTTATTTTTAAGTTTTCGTTTCACAATAGACCAAAAATTTTAAAAGATATTTAAACTTATTTTTTTAATTCAAACAAATCTAAAAAACATCAATTTTCTAAAACCCATCATCCCAAACTTCTCTCTTTTTTTTCTATCCCCGCACCCTTCTCTCTGCTCTTTCCCATTTCTCTCCCCTCACTATCTCTCCTCTAGCTCTCTCTCTCTCATCGCGTCAGCCATTGGTATTCTCTTTATCATCTATTGATGAAGATATCCCTCATCCCATTCTAAATTTCAATTCAATGCAAGACTCCGTCCACATTCCCACTTGTTTTTCCGGCAAAAAGCTGGCCGAAGACCTGGCCAATATTGCCGGAAAATTGAACCAGAGCACCATGAATTGCCTATATGACACATAAATCGTTGGGTTCCGACATCTAGTCACACTGACCTGATGTAAAACCTAGTGGCGCATGCCCTCTCCATTGCCCTAGAAAATCCGGGTATCACTACACATGCAAAATGGAGCTCAAACCATGGTACGTTTGGAGCAAAAAGGGGTCAAATCCTTCGAAATTGATAGCAAATAGCTCGATTTCTACTGGGATTTGAGAGCCGCTAAATTTACACTGAGCCTGAACCATTTGTTGATTTCTATGTTGTTTTGGTTTGCGAAGAGGGGGTTGAGCTTTCGCAAAGAGGATTTGCAATATTTACTGTCGCATGTGATTCTCTTGCAATTTTCTTCAAATTTATGTTCCTAACTTGCCCATTGATCATGTCGTAAATGAAGCCACAAAAATTCATTCTAAAAAGCACAATATGTTAAGGTTTTTTTTGGTAGTTCAAAGATAGAAGCCAAACATGTGATGTAGCCTGATAATCTTCAAGCGCTAGCTCTTAAAAGAAGCTTGTATTGAAAATACATAAGAATTGGTTGTTGATGGGCTGATTTACGCATGGGAGGAGGGAGATAGATGGAGGATGAGAGAAATAGAGCAAATAAAATGGGGGATTTGAAGAAATAAGCCTTCAAGAGAACAGAGGCCTGGCCTTATTTGATAGAGCAGTGATGCTATCAAAGAGTGCTCGTTTTTTGAAAGAGAAGCTTTTTGTAACCAAAGCGAGATTTGAAGAGAGAGCATGTCTTTTTTACATTTGTTTAGGTTAAAAAATAGATTTAAAGTAGTAATGGGGTTAGAAGAATTTTTTAAAATTTTGAGTTTATCAATAAATGAAACCTAAAAATAAAATATATGGAGATATTTTGCCTTAAAAAAATGGATCGGTGATTCGCATCGGTGGATCGAAAAAATCGGTGGAATCGGTAATTTGTGTCCCTTTTTTTTAAAAAAAATAAGATCCTCATATAAGGTTAAAAAAAAATGATATGAAATGTATATCTCAACCTGAATATGTTAAGATATTTGGTTGTTTAATGTATTTAATGACTAGCACGATGCTTGACAATACATATACGATAGGCAAACTTAGTAGATATACAAGTTGTCCAAATAAAGAGCATGGAGATGCTATATCTTTAATACTAAAATACTTAGAAATAACTATCAATTATACCATAAAATATATGGATTATCCTATATTGTTGTAATGATATAGTGGTGCTAATTGTGAACAAAGAAATCCAAGATTAATTATCAACATCGGGATGGATATTTACACTAGCAAGTGGTGCGATATCATGGTAATCAAATAAACAAACATGTATTTCACGCCGCGGAGTCTTAAATTATTGCTTTAGACTCAGTCAATAAAGATGTCGAATAGCTAAATAATTTGTTATATGACATTTACATATAGTCAAAACTAATGCATGCGATAACTATATATTGTGATAATCAAGTTACTATAGCGATAGCTTATAATGATGCATATAATGAAAATTTTACACATATTGCTATAAGAAATAATTCCATTCAAATGTTAATTGGGGATAAAATGATAAATGTAGATTATTTAAGATCAAAGGATTTTTTAGTTGATCGTTTGACAAAAAGCCTTGCAAGGGATGACATTAGTAAGATGTCGAAACGAATGGGACTAGAGTCCATTGAGTAATCATCTAGGGAATCAAACATAGTATTTTGTAACCTCAAAATTATTGGTTTAATGTGGTAAAAACAATTTACACATATGATTAGTTTGGTCACTAGACGATAAATTTTTATAAGCACCTATGCTTAAAAATCCATACAATGGATGAGTCTAGTGATGACCTATATGTTAGTACGTTGTGTTATACTCTTGATGTGGTCTATGGACTATACATAAGTCCGAATGTTTTATATACATGGGCACTCTTGATAGACACATCTATATAAGTGTGGAAGTGCAACCACTTCCTATGCGAGGAGATTCATCTCTAAAACACCTATAAAATTGGGATATATATGCACAAAACCCAAAACGTACTGGTAGCTCAAAAGGCATCGAGTCAGTTAGTTTGGGAATTATGTTAGTACTTATTTTTAGGTTTTTTCCTTTTTTAAAAATTTCAAAAACACCCCTATGCACAAATTGATTATTTAAAATTCATTTTTCATTAATTTTCAACTTCATTTAGATGTGATTTGTTTAATCATTATTTAAATACACCTTTCATATTTTATTATATTTATTATATATTTATTTTATTTTTTTATCACTTTTTTGGCCGCTTGCCCTATTATAATGGTTGAACCAACTAATCGTTTGATAGGGTTGCAACCCTATCAAAATAAGTAAATCCTCACCTCACAACTCATCAAAATTGCAAGTCCAACTCATCAAAATTGCAAGTCCAGCATCGGATAAATCAATCATCTCGACTTGAATATTATGGTTGTAAAAAAAAAAATAGGATTTCAAGCTCTAACAAAAATATAAATTATAATAAATTATTTAAACCGACCATTTTGCCTTAAAAATAAGTCATCATAGATACGCAAGATCCCCACCTAATTCTACTATCTCTCATCTTATCGTCTATTAGTGCCACATCTAAATTTTCTCGAATGTATTCATAATTTCGTATTGAATTCTATCCCTTTTTGTCTTGTCATTTATCAATCTCAACATTCTCGTATCGGCTACACTCATTTTATGATTGATGTTCTAAATCACCAACTTACATATTTAAAAAAAGAAAAAAGAAAAAAAGAAAAAGACAAATATGCCCTTTACCAAACTTGAAATTTTGAGCCAAGGAGCCCATTGAAATCCGAAACCACCATTGCACCCTCGTGGGATTTCAATTAAATGGCTTGATTCATTTTCTCTAATTTTGAAAATAATAATTTGGGATTCTAAAATTGTTCATTTTATTTTTATTTTTTATTTTTTGAAATAGCACATATTTTTTTGTTTTGGTAATTCGATGAGAAAGATTGGCCCCTACCCATTGTTTTTCAAATAGTCGAGAGGTTTGTTTTTCAAATAGTCGAGAGGTTAGCTTTTTGAAGGTTTTGGTGAGGTGATGTTAGTGGTGATAATGAAAACCTTGATACAATGATGTGGGTTGCTACAACCATAGCCCAGCCCCTTTCTCAAATATATTTGTTGTTTGAGATAAAAAAGTGTGCATGGTGCCCCTGGAGGAGCACGCCTTAATAGTCACCTTAAAATAAAACACGTCAGGCATCAACGGCATAAAAGAGGGAACAAAAGGACTCCTCCTCTCAAGGTTAAATAACTTGTTCTTACTTTCTCTCTACTCTTTATCTTTAAACCTTTTACCACCAATGCAAATGTAGAGGGAAAATCTAGAAAGAGAAGGTGTTCATCCCAAATTTGCTGTCCTCATATTCCTGATGATATTTGCGTCTGCATTTTATCGGCCCTCACTGTTGAATCGATGTACAGGTTAAAATGTGTGTGTAAATCATGGCAACAACTTCTCGGCTCCAAGTATTTTGCACAGATCCATTCTCTCTCTCCCACCCTACCTTCTGATACCATTGATGTGATTCCCGATATCTTTGGCTTCTTCCTTCTTCGGGTCTCCAAGAAATCCACCCAAAAATATTTGAGTCAAACCCTGGTAAGTCCGCCCTCGTCCAGAGGACGTGTTACTAAGTTCATTTGCAGCAATGGCATGGTGTGCTACACAACTTCAGAAAACACTAGGATGATTTTTGTGCGTAATCCTGTAACTAAGCAACATCTCACCCTTCCATCATTGTAATGTTATGGTTATGTCCCTTCGTATGATTGCAGGGTTTTATTTCAACCCTGTGAACCACACTTTCAAGTTGCTGGTGAGAAGGAGGGCCATGTTCAGCTCGGCCATGAGATGTTGGAAAGACGTTAGCTTTCTAGTACCAACCCATTGGTGGTCGGACATTTGCGTGCGTGGCGTTTACTACAGAGTTTCAGACCGGACGGTGGTGGCCTTTGATATGGAGAGCGAAATTTGGGAATACATTCCTATGCCTGTAATGAACAATTTTCCTCTTTGGGACCATTTTTTTTTTACATTTTTGTGCTTATTTTAACTTTTTAAAGTTGCATTCGGTTTTATTTTACTTTTACTATTTTTCTTTTAAATTTATTTAGGGCCTTTTGGCCATGTGCAGGAATCGGTCGAGTCCACAAAGTGATTTGCCTTGGCCAAGGTCTATGTCCTTTGGCTGAGGTTGGTCTGCATATTGAACGGTTCACATGGTAACTAGCTTTCTTTAGTGGTGCTTATTCTTCCAATATTGTAATGGTATTGATGATTTGTATGGGATGGGGTCTTCTTTACACTGATAAGAGGGCATATGAGCTTTTGATCTTGTGTGGAGTAATGCAACTTTGTCCTGAATTTCCAGACTTTGGGTATTGCTCTTAGTTTACCTCAGTTTTTTTAAAATTTGCTATTGGAAATGGCAAAGGTTACTGGTTTTAATGAGTATTGTAACAAGTAATCTAGACCATCTATTTTTAAGATTTTCAAGTGTTATAGATCTGCACTATTTTTTAAATTTGAAATTTTATTATTAGCTTGAGCATGAATTTTCAAGCTATTGTAAGGTTTTTGACATTGGAATTACAACTTTCACAAAATTTAGCGGTGCATGGTATACGGTGGGCACCCCAGATAAACCTCACCCGTTTTTTAAACTAAACTATGAATGTATATTATTTATTTATTATTATTATTTTTTAATTTTTTGCATTTTTTTTATCATCATCTACCCTATGACTATGAGATTCTTTTTTTTTTTTTAATACTATCAATGTTGCCAATATTGTGACAATATGAACATCTAGCGCTTGCTTGGACCTAGACCTGAATATTGTTCGGGTACAAAATTTGGACCTATACCTAGACCCGAGGTCGTGTCTAACCGTCAGGTCCTGGGTCTAGTCGGGTCCATTGCCATCCCAACTTGCAGACCTAATAGGGGCCGTAAAGGACCTAAGGACTTCCATCTGCAAATTCCAAGGCTTTCAGGGACCTATTAGATCTGTGAAGATTCTGGGGATATAAAAAAATGTGAACGTTATGGGGATATGTGAAGATTCTGGGGATATAAAAAAATGTGAACGTTATGGGGATATAAAAAAATGGAGAAAATATGGTATGGGTGTAAATTTGAAAGAAAAAAAAAAAAAAGGCTAGTTTCAAAGTTTTACAAATTTAAGAGATATTACTTGATAATTTCCCTTAAATATAAAACATAGTGAGATTTTTCTTTCCATTGTATAAAAAATAAAATTTTCAAAACAAAGAAAGATTATTGTATACTTGTACTCTATATAACGCCATATGTGGCCATCATCAAAGTAATTATTATAGCATCAATACAATTTTGGGATGAGGATGGGCTGAGCCAAGGGTAGCCTGGCCTAGCCTTGGTCTGAAGCTAAAGCGAGCCCATATGACAACTGCAAGGTCCCTTCCTGTATGTTGGCCTATATACGACTGTCCAAAATTGAAATCGAGCATGCACGGCTGAACTACCCAACAAAAAAAGTGTATTGGAGTTGTTTCATGTCATGGTTAAGGAAAAGTACCCAGAGACCATTTACTTTTAGTATAAGGAGGTTAAGATCACTCTTGCCCATCACATTTTAAATCAAGTGATTGTAAATGTATTAAAGTTTAAAAAAAAAGAAGTTGTTGTACTTCGTGATACATCTCATGCCATCCAACTTGATATCTAATTGCTGGGAGTGATTGTAGGTAATCATGGTAAATTGCCCCATAGTGTACAAACCCTTATTTTAATTGGATTGTTTATAAAGAGACCATTTATCTTTAGTATATGGATGTCACAATCATTATTGTCCCTTAAATTTCAAAATAGGTGATTGTCAAAATATCATTGAATAGACAAAACTCCAAAAAAAATAATTTCTCGGACTTCGTGACTCACTTTAAGCCATCCAATTTGATGACATCTAATGAGTGTGAATGATTTTGATCTACATGTACAAAAAATAAATGGTCTCTTTGTAAACAATCTTTATTTTACATATAGAAAGAAGACATCTAAGGACCTGTTTAAGAGGTTTGACCAAATAATAGTGAACCAAATGTTAGTCAATAGAGACCCAATAATGGTGAACCATCTGCTGACACAACAGCATATGCAGTCTGAGACAGCCTGAAACACAAATTTCCTGCGAGAGATGATAGAATTTTTGGGCAACGTTAAGCTAAGCAACTCTGAAAATCTCCTCATAATCCACCCCATGCTCATGGGTGTAACCTTAGGGCATCAAATGAGTGATCCATCAACTAGAGTGTTAAATTTATATCAAGTAGTTCTCATAGGGAACTTACCGGCCAGAAGTGATACAAGACGACCTAAACCTTACCTTTATTACGTGATGCATCTTAAACATATACATACATGTATCCTAGGAAAGGATGAACAGTACATCATGGACAGAATATGCAGAAGTAACAAAAAAAAGAACCCATAAAAATCGAAAAATAGAAGTAAAACATAACAATCCACTCTCAAATGGACGATAGAAATTCTCCTTAACACCTACTTAGTGGTTAGAGTCTTTAGTTATTTCCTCAGTAGGCAATTCCCAGTTTGCAAGCAAGTGACATTCCACTCTAAAATTGAAATAAACAATCAGGCACAACAAGAAGACACCATCATGATGATATTAATTGCATCAATGTCCTTTTGATCATGGCTTATGGGTTCTCAATGAAGCTATTGCTAGTAGGATCATCAAGTATGAAGGTAAACGGCACATTTCCTTCTGCACAGGATTTCAATTTAATAAAAAACTGGTCCAAAGCTTCTGCTGTCTCAAGATCAACCTTCTGATATAATAGCACCTAGATAGACCAAGAATGAAAGTTTTTGGAAACAAGGCTTACCCTTCTCTCCTCTGCAGCTCATAGAAGTACCCATTCCACCTTAAGTAGAACCAAAAAAGAAGAAGAAGATAAGGTTGTGAAACAGTGAGGGAAAGAAGCCGACAATGATGCATAACAATCTCTGCAGCAGATAACAATCTACTGTAGGTCTCACAAAAATTTCTTTTCTAGACTTTAGAGCATGAGTCATGAGATACCACACATATCTGATTAAAAAAAAACCATACATATGTGGGAGAGCAGCGGGTCTGATTTGGTCTTCACATTCAAGCTGACTTTTTCTTTCGAGGAATGAAAATATAACAAGAGGCATGAAGATCCAATTAAGACATTTGTAAGTTAGCACTTGCTCTTTCAAAATGGGTGATAGGTCGGGAGGATTTAGAGCTCTTTTGGAGCTCCAAACCAAGATTTTTAAGGACTAAGAAATTCTTTTGATGTGCCCCCCACACCTCAAAATTAGTTTTTTAGGTGGATGAAGGAAAACATTTGGTGCTCCACCTGTATCACGCTATCATTTCCCTTTATTTGGTGAAGATCAATGATGCGACCATAGAAATCTGACCTAAAAATAAAATTGACTGGAAGGTGGGAGGCACATATCATAAACCAGTATTTAGCACTATGCATGCAAGGATTGCCAACCAGAATATTCCGAAATAAATCAAGATAAAACTATCGAACAATGGGCATTTCCTAAACTACAATTTTTCATATAGTAACAAATGAATATATACAATTTACTAGGGATTTATTGGGCTCATGATTTGGTGGCCACTGGCCAGAGCATTGACGGCTGCAACAAAGTGTCCAATGTTTAAATTCCATCGCTGACCTACCCAAAAATAGTAATAATACCATACAATCTACTGATGAAAACATAAATTTGATTTTATGTGATTTCCCTTAGTGCAAGATGATGCGCCATGATGCTCCACATCAATCATTATGGTGTCCATAACACAACCCTAATATGAGCTTTTATGGCTTTCACAGCCCTCCATCACTGGTATCAAGCCTAGAGACTATAAAGAGCCTAAAGTCATCACACATATATTATCTCCAGAAGATTCTGATCACTTGATCATGTGCATAAACACATATTTTTGCAAATACTTACATTTCTCTCTACAGTCATATTCAACAATGACATGGTAAACATCAGTGGGCAATTACCTCTGAAAAAAGTAATTGGACATGCCTATCAAGTGTATTTTTCAAAAGATTAAGATGTTTCAATGACAGCTTGACTATGGTATTCAATCTCAATGTTCAGGGCCTCCATGCAAGCATTTCCTGTATATGAACTAGACGCAAATGTTCTTTAATATACTAAGCAGCACTGATCTTTCTAATGCCCCATCCGTTTTGGCTACTAGTAAAGCAAAAAAAATCAACCGCATAAGAATTTCTTCAGCAACTTTTCGGCTACACAAGGAGATGGTAACATTCATTACTGCACTTATTGATGCACCTTCTAGTGGATCTAGCTAAGAGTTGATTCTTCAACAGATAGTAGCAAAGCAATCTAACTTTTTCAAGTGTGCCAATAAACAATGTTTCTTCCCTTTCACACATTCCATGCATTTCATTTTTCTCCCCCCCTTCTTCCCCCCCCCCACTTCAACCCAAAACAACCATCTACTTTCAAGCGAAGTAATTCATGGAAAAGGCATTATTTGCTCAATTTTCCTTTTCGGACAGAAACTAACATCAATTCAAAAACATCAGAAGTCTCCTCACATATATTTCTCAAGTTGTCTCATCAGTAGAATCTACGGCTAAGAGGAATCCTGACACTGGCATATAATTCTTGCATTGAAATTTTTTAAAGGATATGGATAAGCGAATTATATAAAAGACTCGTCATACAAATGGATACTGCGAGAAAGGGAGAGAAGCACATGAAAACTCTTACTAGAGATCGCAATTAGGACCAACACATCAACTCGCTTCTTTGTTTCCCAGTGCACATGCTGCAAAGATATTTCTATAGCGCAACAATCTATATCCCATAACAGTTTGGAAGACCCTATTAGCAGACCATACGTCATTAAGCAAGTCTTCTTCCTCAATGATCTACAATGCATGCTACTATGATCTGACAATTCACCAAATGAATGGTCTAGATCAGTTGTTGGAGGAGACTCATTTTGACCATATCTAGGGTTCAAATTGAATTTTTTTTTTTGGAGATTCATTATTGAGATGAAGAGAGTATGTGCAAAATTTTGGGTCATACAAATGCCACAAACATGGTTTTTAAGAAGTATGATTGTATTATACTACGATACAACCGTTGCATGATATCACTGCTTATTTCTTATTCTTATTTTATAGGGATTGTATGCAATTAGACCACTTACTTACAACCATCTGACGTGAAATCTGATAGTCACGTAGTTCAATAAATTTTATTTTGAAGTTAGACCTTGATCAATAAATAAATGCACTTCATATATAATAGTCAAGATTAATTGTAACCACCTTGTACCAAAAGATAAACGGTCACATTATATACTTTATATATATATATATATATTTACAAAATTTAGTTATCAGCTATTTAACAATCTTACTCTTTGCTGACTATTTCAATTTCACCTCACGATTGTTTTTTTTTTTTACATGGTTCATTAAAGGAAATAATTTTATATAAGGTATTGGCCTATTATGTAGATGGTATACCTAAAAAACCTGCCACAAAATCTTGCCTGCATGCTGGGAAGCCTTCTAATGGATCATCACAAACTTGAGATGTATGGATACGAAAAAATAAATAAAATACTTCGAGTCTTGATTGTTGAGATGGTCAAATGTATTTTCTATAAATTACATTAATTTTTATTTTAGGAGGACAAGAGTGGACAGCTACAAGACATACCAAATGGAAAAATTGGGAGGGGGACTTAAATAGATATGTAGGGAATGATAGTAGAGGATATGGGAAGAGGACATAGAGGATATGAGTTTGGTGACATAAATGCCATGGGTGAGGCTATTTTAGATTTTGTTATGGCCTACAACCTAGTAATAACAAATACTTACTCTACAAAATGGGATGAATATTTATAACATATAAAATTGGATAACACAAAAGCCCTATAGATTTCTTTCCAGTTAAAAAAATAGATTGATTATCATATAAATACGGTAAGGTTATCTTATGAGAGAGTTTGACTACCAAAAAAGAAGAAGTACTGTTTGATAATTATAGTGTGATATAGCCTCCAAGCTTAGTTTCATGAGGGAGTTATTTTATATGAAAATATTTTTATATAAATTTTTTTATACGAGCCAAACATGTAACTAGATCGATGAGGCGGACCATTTACCGATAGATCCGTGTTTGATATCTTGACTTTAGACTTGTCTGAATCAGTGATCCACAAAAATGTTAAAAAACAAATTAAAATATGAGTTTTTGGGTGGGGACACATGCAAGACGTTATAAAATATAAAATAAACTTTACAAAATATTTAGGGTTTCAGGGGGGAACTAGGAATTCTCACACAATTATCAAAACCGGACCGAACTGGTAATCCGATCAACAAAATTGGTGACCGGGCCCTTACCCTTCCCAACATAAGCACTAAATCTATATTTCTTGAGAACCGATTGTTGACTAGTTGGACCGATTTAATTGCCGATTTTTTTGATTCTCTTGGATGACTGGAACCCTACCGTTCTTGCTATTTTTTGGCATGTTTTTTTTTACATATTTTCTATTTTAACAGCACATGAATTTTATTTAAAAAATATTTAATCTAAAATATCTATGGTAAAGCCTAACTTTATAACTCATTTAAAATTGCAATTCAAGCATTGGACAACCTTTGCATAGATCATCCTGGCTTGAATATTTGGCTTGAGGAGTTTACTACATCTTGAATTTAAGAAGCCCTTGTATTGCAACACGATTGAACTAACTGTCTTAAAGGAGTGGAGCATACATTCCCTATAACAAATAAGCTAGCTTATATGATTGTGAAAAAAATAAGGATTTCAAGCTCTAAAAATAAGCTATATTATAACAAATTATCTAGACTTCCCATTTCGCCCTAAAAATAATTGTTCAAAGATATCCAAGATCTGTATATGTTTGAAGTTTCAATTTTTATTATCCATGTTGAAAATTTGATTTTGGAACCATCATAGATATTTTCGTTGCCTAAAGTTGTTTTTCAGACAAGGAATTGAGGTGAGGCTTTATTTTGTCTGCATAAAGCCTGGGCCTTATAGAAATTCATCCCAACTTCACACGTTTACATGTCTCTCATTTGTGTTTCCATTTCCCGCCAAACATTGCTTCGCAAATACCAACTAGGGTGCTCTCTCCATACCAAACGCGCTTCCCTCTTCTCCAACTGCCAGTCGTCTCTCACATGGCCTCTCTTTCTCTCTCATCCCTCTCTCTATCATCTGCTCCCCAATTATTGTCGAAGCCACTAAAGCCATCTCAAGCTTCATTGCTCTCACCACGGTTTCTCTCTCTTGCACCTGAATCTCCCCAATTTCAAGAAAAACACGCACATAAATGCAAAATCCGTCTCTGAATTTGCAGCAATGGGATTTTCTGATGGTTTGAATTGGATGCCGTCAAATCTTGGCTCGGTCTTTCATTCAGAGAAGGGCACTGCGGTTGCACTAACCCTATTTTTCTGTCTTCTCTGCGCGTGTATTGTTATAGGTCATCTATTGGCGGAGAGTCGATGGACTAATGAATCTATCAACGCCCTAATTTTGGTAATTCATCTCAAAATGTTGAATTCCACTGCACTTTATGCTTTCCCAATCGTTGTGAATTACGGTGAATTCCACTTTACGTCCTTACTTTATCATTATTTCAGGTTACCTGTTCTGGGTTAATTGGTATTTTACATCTAATTATTTGCATATGATTGCTCCATCAGTCAATTAATGCGCTAATTATTGGCAATTCCTCTCAAAATGGTTTATTCAACTGCGTTTTTCTATTTTTCCACTATTTTGTTTTATCCTGAAAACCAACTTGTATTTCTACTTTTCTCATTATTGCAGTTTATTTTATTGTAGTTTATTTGATGTCCGACATCTGATTATTTGTGTGTAATTTCTCCAAGTATGGTTATTTCTTTCAAACTTTTTCTTATTGTGCTTTTGTTTTTTAATCTTCCGTCACCCTTTCTTCCTCCAGTATTGTTTGTTCTATACCTATGTTCATTTGAGGTTGACCATTGATATTAATGATATTTTGTGTATAGTGTCATTGTTATGATCATTATCATGACTATCGGATTGCCATCTGATTAAGTTGTTATTTTTCATTCAATCAATTGCACATTTTGTTCGCCCCTTTTTGGATTAAACTTCTAGTGGATTGAATCAAACCACTTGCAAATTGGTTTTTGCAAATAGCGATCCGGTTATTTATATACCACATTAGCTAACCGAACCCAACAGAGTCCAAGCCTGAGCCCGACCTTGACCTGGACCGGATGTGGTAGGGCCCAACCCTAGACATGAAAAGGACCCTGTCACACACACACACACACGGGGTCAAGTTGACCCTGACCTAGATAGGTCAATCATGGACGTTGACCCAAACCTAGTATGGTCCTGCCTTCCAGGTCGGACCTGGGGCCAACCCGCCAGGTCCAGGGTTGCGGTCGAGACCTCAACCTCAGTAAGTTTGATTTGGTGGGTAGCTGGGTCAACTCAACCTGTTTAGCATCCTTAGATCACATGATTGTTTCATTTGCTGGATCATCAGTTTATATGCCTTTATTGAAACATGTGGTCTCATTCTTACCCCTTTGTTCCTTGAACATAGGGCCAGAAAGAATTTCCATTTAAATACCTCTCTTTCTTTGCTCTATTCTTTAATGTGGGATTAAAAATACCTCGACTTTCTGTCTCTTTATTATAAACTCAGGAAAAAACTGATTTGAAAGTATATACTATGTTGAAATACAACTGGTATTTTTCAAACTAAAATACTAACATTGCATGGTTTTGTTATTTTCATTCTTTTTGTCTCATTTTCTTGATCATCATTTCATATGCCTTTCCTGGAATCATTGATGGTTTCATTATTCTTGTTTTCTTTGATTTGTTTCATGCTCATTTATTTGTGTTCTTTTTACTTTTGTTCAGGGATTGTGCTCTGGTACAGTTGTTTTGTTGATCAGCAAGGGGAAAAGTTCTCATATACTGGTTTTCAATGAAGAGTTGTTCTTCATATATCTTTTGCCTCCCATTATATTCAATGCAGGGTATGTTATAGGTTGATTCATTTGTCAAGACTTTTGCTAAATGTACTATCAAGTAATGCTCTGTTTTCTTTTTTGAATGAAATGAAAAAGACCACTAAGAATTGTAATTTCACAGTCTCTCAAGCGAGTGTATGGATGATTACTTTTGAAGTTTATAAGTGGGAAATGTAACTAGACAGTCTTAAAATTGCAGAACGAAATCAAAGAGGCAAACTTCTATTGAAACCTGAAAAATACAAAAAATTATGCTTTCATAATTATTATAAAATGTTTTTCATGTTTTTGATGGTTGGACTAATAGAAGCATATTTTTTGTTAAGACTTGAGTTAATTGAAACCACTTGTTTGATTGTGATCGTTGTACCTTATAATGGTTATCAACAAAGCAAGCTGCAAGATAGCTACAGTAGTCCATAAACAGGCTTTTCATATCTAACTATGCATATCAACTCTTAACCAACATGCCTCAATGGTTAATATACATAGGACAGATACTTTTTCCTTTCTCAACATGGGAAACAATTATATTATTAGAGTACTCTAGAACTATTGGTCCGAGCTCAAAACGACAGTGTTTGAAAATATTTATAGAATAATATGTGTTTTTCTCTTCACATAGCATTCTTCGTGGTTCTCCTTGGAGATATGATCATCCTTATTGATAGATATATTTACCCATACTGGAAGTTTGCTTTTTCAATTCCAGTTGAAATACGTGAAAGACTAGGATGCCATCAGTTTTGTACAATTGAGCTTTAAAAAAAGTTAGACTACGGATTTGTATGGATTTGTTTTTGGATTAATTTGAAAGAAAATTGATCTTTTGTTATGTTCATGGATTCAGTAATATTAACATTTCAAGGCTTATAGGGGAAGGTCCCAAAATAAACCTTCATTGAATGCTTGGGCTGATTGGTTTTTTGGATCATTGATCCTTCACATGACGTGAATTACAATTTTCTGGTATTCATCTTTGTTTTTTTATCGAATCAAAAAAGCTTTGAAGCATGTGAAGATTTGCAGCTTGAGAAGATGGATTTCATAAGGCTTTTATACTATGCCTTGGTTTACATGATCAATCTGCGGAGATGTGAACATTTTGCAGCTTGAGAAGATGGATTCCAATACTTTTATACTATGTCGTGGTTTACATGATCAGTCTGTGGAAGTGCCGAAAAATGTGTTTATTGCGTGTTGGGTTAAGCCCCTTCATGTGCTAGATGAAATGGGCTACAATAAGTTACATGCTGTTGAGGGTAGATGCAATTATTTACAATATAGTTCTTAGAATAATATCATTAGAATTATTTACAATATTATTCTTAGAATAATATCCATAGAAGTAGTATTATTGGAATAGTTTCTGTATTAAAATTTACATCGAACAAGAACATCAAGCTAATAAGCCATAGTGGTTATACAATGGTATGTTAAATGAATGCTCTTTAGGGCATACAAACATTTTCATCATACTGGTGTTTCATGGCCACATGAGTCTTTCTTCTTTCTTTTACTCTTTCTTCTTTTTGCTGAGCGGGTTATAGCTATGTCTCAATTGTTGATTTTCATAACTGAGTGATAAATCTTGGTTATCATAAAAAAGGTGTAATTAGATCATGAGAAGCTCGACAATCTTAGTTTTTGACATTTTAATTGAAACCTTCAATGATTTTTCCAGTTTCCAGGTTAAGAAAAAGCAATTTTTTCAAAATTTTGCAACAATATTGCTATTTGGAGCTGCAGGGACACTCGTATCTTTCTGCATAATTTCTCTAGGTAAGTTGTGATCATCTCTTGCCTGATTTTGTCATATAGTTTAATATTTACAGTTTAAAGATCAAATTGTTAGTATATACTATTCAATACAAAATATTAGGAGCCTTGGATATGAATTTTTTTGAGGTGTTGGAGGGAGTTAGTCGCTAAGATAGTTCCAGGGCTAATGGTTCCTTTTAGACCTGTGTCATATAATATGTGAAATGTATGTGAAATGTACTTTCTAATAAATATCTCCTACATATTTGCTTTAGTCCACCCTTAGTGGCAAAAAGCAGGATGCTGCATGCAGGGTGTTATTTGAAACTTTTTCATTACGCAGGAAATTTTACACAGTACTTGGATTTGCCACATAAGCCAAAAGTAGATATGCAGTTACTATTCTGATTTCTAATTAAAATTTATTGCAAGAATCTTCTAGTGACTGAAAGCTAAATATAAAACCATTGACTTCTTGAGTTATATGTTAAACTATTAAATTTCAATTAATCAATTGGGTGTGACAAAAAGTCTTGTTAGGATCAGTTTAGTTCACATGGGTTTTAATAAATGATGCTAAAATACGAAGACAACTCTATAGTATAATTTCCATTATGCAAGCGAAGCGTTCCCTCCCTTGGCTTGTTTGAGATGTAACCAATCCCTTTCTGCTAGACACATATCAATGCCAATAATTTTGCATCTTGTTTATGAATTGGCCTCTCCTAACTTATCACTAAGTTCTAATGATTGTTGATGGTTTTTGGGATTGAAGTAGGTCACTTCCACTGATAGACATGTCATTATAATATTGTACTATGTACGGATTTCTTGAACCAATTGATAGCCGTGAAGATTTGTTGTAGCTTTTCTACAGAAACTGTGCTATTCATACTGTCATTTAGGCTTTAACATGCTGACACCTATGTCTCTATTTTTTCATCATATATGCGAGGGCCATGCAATTTGTTTATGATGTAGGGCCAAGAGTCTAGGTTTGGTTTACTTCGAAAGTTATATCCTGATGTGGAAATCAAATGAAAGTAATAATCATGCATCCAGTTTAGGGGCACAAACTGAAGAACTTGAAGAGGAAAGTAGAGATTTCTAGTGCTCTCGTTTATTTAATGATTATGCATTTTACTAGGATCTACAAAGCTAAGAATTGAATGGGTTAAAAATTTACACTTCCAACGTTTTGCTAACCAAAATTGAGTGTAGCACTGATGATGTGTGCTTCTGTTTTGAGTTAGACGGGCAAATATGCTGCTAAGCAAGCCTGGTTATTGAGAAGACAACAAATATAAGGAGAATCCACAATATGAGTAGAGATCTAACATTACATTCTTATAGAGAGTATATTATTGATGAGAACTTATCAAATAAAAAAGTATGTGTGTGATAAAATTTAAGCAGTCATTGGTTAACATAAGATTTCTAATATTTTTCTAGTATTTACATTCTTATAGAGATAGTATATTATTGATGAGAACTTATAAAATAAAAAAGTATGTGTGTGATGAATTTAAGCAGAGTCACTTGTTTAACGTTACTTGATCTGACATGTTTCTGTCCAACGCTAGCAATGCTTTGGTAATGTTGGACACTCTAGTAATGTATTAGCTATCGGAAATTGCACTTAATTTTTAGTATCAGTTAGTGGGAATGTCAAGGGTCTGTCATATGCCCTCCTGTAGATGTAATGATCACATGGGACAATAATGATGATTTACTGGCAGATGCACTATGCGACCTTATAGAAAATCCCCAAGGCATTGTTGATTTATATTTTGATTTTCCTGACTCATCTTCAAGTTGTTGGCTTCTGATTTATTTCAAATCCTGCAGGTGCATATTTCTTGTTTAAAAAAATTGGTATCAAATCCCTCAAACTTCGAGAGTATCTAGGTGAGATAAACCATGGAGTTCTCCTTGTTCTGTAAATATCAAACTTTTGTCTTGTTTATGAATGTTTAAGTTCTATATTACATCTGGTTTCTTTGCAGCTATTGGCTCTATTTTTTCAGCTACAGACTCTGTTTGCACACTACAGGTATGCCTTAAGATGATGAATTTTTTTTCTTCTGCGATTCCCTTACTGTGATACATGGCTGCCATCTGACCTCCTGAATGTTTGAATGCTAAAGGTTCTCAATCAAGATGAGACACCCTTGCTTTACAGTCTTGTATTCGGGGAGGGAGTAGTGAATGATGCTACCTCTATTGTACTATTTAAAGCAGTCCAGTCACTTGATTACAACAATATTGATGTTGTTGAAGCATTGAAATTATGTGGGAACTTCCTTTATCTCTTTTGCACTAGCACTGCACTGGGTGTGTTGGTGAGTATTAGAGGATGCAATAGTTGTTAACATATTGGCATACTAGTCAAATTTCATTTCTAATTTGTGGTAATGGAATTGTTCATTAGTTATTCATGTCTTTTATGTCAAAATTTCAGGCTGGGCTACTAAGTGCTTTTGTCATTAAAAAGTTGTATTTTGGAAGGTCAGTAGTGGGTGCTGTGACCTGATACTAATTTTTGCTCATCATGTTGTAAATATCTGGCACGTATCTCCTCATTTTGTTTTCTCCTGGTTCTTTGTTTCTTCTCTTCTTTTGATCAGTGACTAGCCTATGGCCAGAGATCTTTGACCAAAGGCAAGAAATCTCAAATATGCTTGAACTATATTAACCCACTAAGGATAATTAGCCACACCGTACATGTCTATTTGGATGTATGCAAATGTGCTTGCTGGCTTATTAGATCTGTAGCTGATTGTTCATGCCAAATGTGTTCATGTCAAAGAATATGACTCCTAGAGATGATTAAACAACCAGAGAATGAAAGCAATCACACAAGCATAACAAATTCACCCACATTCATAGCTGATTATTCATGCCAAAAGTGTTCATGTCAAAGTATATGACTACTAGAGATGATTAAACCACCAAAGAATGAAAGCAATCACACAAGCATAACAAATTCACCCACAATCACATATTATTATGGGCTTTTGTTATATTATCGGGAAATAGGAGTTCCTGAGGCCCTCCAGTACCATGTTTCATTTAAATCATTCTCATTTTCTCCAAGAATGAAGACCTTAATTTGGGCTTCAAGACCCATACAGACAAAGCATGAAAGAATGAAACATATTGCATCGAAATCTATGGAGACCTGATGTACCTTGTCTATCAATGCAAGGATTGGTGAAGCTGCTGTTTTCCACTTCTCTAGATGCCTTGAACCAGTTTCTCTCAAATTATCTGAAATGTTCCCGGAGTTGCAAAGAATGCTTTGGGCAAAGGCTCAGTCTTGAAAGTCTCTGAATTCCTTTCGAAGTATATCTCACCCTCTCATAATTGTGAAGATTGCTGCTGATTTTGTTTCCATATTTGTCCAAAACCAAGTTGGTTGAGTCCTCTCTCTCACTGGAACATTTCAAGGATGATAAAGCATCCAGAATTCCAGATGCAAATTAAATGACAAACTTTGATAAAAAACCCCCTTCAAAATATTGAAAATTTAATCTACTTGAAAGTTTGGTGCCCATATGTAGCAGTTTTTTTTAGTGAATCTAGCAGTTTGCAGCAAGCCAATGATTCATTTCCCAGGAATGGGGTTGAGGTCGTGGTGGTAGCACCACTTGAGCCTCAGCTACCGGTCTAGGTTTCCATTCCTACTGACGCATTCGAAAACCGCTAATTATTTCTAAAAACAGGTAGGGGCCTATCTTCCCCACTGATAATAACAATAACAATAACAATAGTTCATTTCCCGTATGTCTTTTAAATGTGTATTTTATGGACCCCATCCTTTGCCAGGATCTTAGAGCATCTCATGAAGAACACTTTTACCAAAGGACCCTATGTATTTATGGACCCCATCCTTTGCCAGGATCTTAGAGCATCTCATGAAGAACACTTTTACCAAAGGACCCGGTTTCTATGCGGCCAAGCTCGCATATGTAGAAATGCGAGCCTCTTAATAAATCTATTTTTGAGATGGATTTTAAGACTTAATTTAAGGAATGTAATCTCTAACATGGAGATCATGAATATGAATAAATAAATAAATTTTAAAAACTAAAAATAATAATTCTAGTAAGAAAACATTTGGACCGTTAGTTTCCATTGTTTTTAGATGGAACACCTACTTACATCCATCTTTAAGATGGATGCTTTACGCTTTCTGGACCGCATATGTAGAAATGCGGTCCAGCCCACATGAAACAATTTTTCTTTATCAAATCTCACAAAAGAATATGCTAAAGTTAGTGAGAAATCTGATCTTGAAGTTAGAATGGCAGTCAGGCGGATGTATAATGCTTGCCCGTTAGTGATTGGACATGAACAAGATTTTCAGGCTAGATTGGTTGTCAAACACTGTTGGCTTTTTGACTGCGGGTGTACTAAAAAAGTAGATCAAAATGTTTAAGTGCTACGAAATTTGGACAGTAGGCTTATAATGCCTTAGACTAGAAGCTACAAAGTTTCAACTCACTTTTAGCTTCTTTGATAGGTCTTCAAAGTTGACGATGGTAAAGACATTCTGACCGCCAATTAACCTCAAAAAAGTGGGTCAAATAAAATCCAACTGATATGAAACTTGGACAAAAGAATTATAAAGCTTCAACTATTCCCATACGGTTCACTAGGGTTTTCTAAAAGTTGGCCTGTAGTTGTGCACTTATATGCATGTTTGACTGTGGGTAAAGATTGATTTTGTATTGTATTCACACCAATCTTGATGGAACTTAAAACACAGGTTAATGGAGTATGATTCCATTTGAGCTCATTATATTGAGTTTCAAAAATGACTGAGTCAAACTTATGGAGCCATAGCTAACTGCTTGGGTCAAGTGTGATCCAATCCCTATGCAATATGGACCATCGGTTTATCATGCCTCTATTACTTAACCATCCAGGTTTCACTTGAATCTGAATTCAATATGGTCAGATTGTAGGTTGCTCAATGGCCAGGCTGAATGGCGATGTTTGACCGTTGGTCTGCCCATTCCAATACCTTATGTGGCTTCTATTTGCGCTATATTCACATTTTAGGCTCTATCATACGGCTTTTCTCTGACATAAATGATTTCTATACCAATTCCCAGGCTTTGTGCCTTAAAGATTGATCAATTAGTTTTGACCTTCTATCTTAACTCTTATAGACATGCCCGGACTTTGATGAAGTCCTGTTTGAGTTTGTATGGATTTTTCATGTGATTCAAAACACACCCAAACACTAATTTATTCTAGTTTTGTGGCTTAGTGTTGTTGCACCCGGTTTGTATTAGGAAAATAAAAGAATTGAAACTTGCCAATTAGTAGGATCCTTATCCAGTATACTCTATTGTTGGAGATAATTTATTGGGAAATTTATCAAATTATATGTAAGAGCTGAAGAATTTAACATTCTACCATCCAAGTATTTTGTTTTAATTTCAAAATAACCATAAAAAACACATGATCTTGAATTGAAATAGTTTCAATAGGTAAAATGTTGAACTGTTATTTTTTATAATTTTTTTTAATTTCTTTGGTCACTTCATAAGTTAATATCATATTTTGATTTTATTTATTTTTAAGGTGAATCTTCCACTCTTTACTTTTGTTTTCAGTGGTAAAATGTCCATTTATCCGTGCAGGCATTCTACTGATCGTGAAGTTGCACTCATGATGATCATGGCTTATCTGTCATATATGTTGGCAGAGGTGATTATATCTTTGAAGTCATTTACTGTTTTTTGTTGCCCATCAGAAAAAGAAAGAAAAGAACTGGTTCTAAATTCTTGGCATATGCTTCCTAGATGGTGGGCCATGGTTTTTGGAGAATGTGATACTTTGTATCTTATGGTTCCTAAAGTACGCCTCTCCATGCAGATTTTCTCACTTAGTGGGATTCTTGCAGTTTTCTTCTGTGGAATTGTCATGTCACACTATACATGGCACAACGTCACCAATAGCTCACGAATTACAACTAAGTAAGAGTGAGTTTCCCTTAGATTTTCCTTTGTGTTTTGTTATTTTATTAAGAATTTATTTTATTTGGTTGGCATTAGATTTTATTTGAATGTATAGTTTTTATATTTCTGTAGTGTTGTCATGTTTCCAAGAAAACATCCTTCACATGTTCTAGCTGTTGGTGGAATATAAATTCTTCTTGTGTTTCTTTAATCTTGTTGGTTTGGATATTTTAAATGGGGAAACTCTAAAACTGATAAGTGGTTTGAAAACACCCTAGTAAATGACAACTGACTTTAAAAATATCTTTAGTGTCTAATATGCACTTTTCTTGATCAAATACCAAGCATGACATTTTCAACTTCCTTATGCAAGAGCGCTGGTGACCATGGTGAGTGGTATTATGAAAGTTTCATGCTGTTCATGGCTTCTTCTTGCTCCTGTATGCATTAATTAGCTGTTCCTAAAGTGCAAGAAGGGGGAACAAAGGCCTTTATTTTTAATAGGATTTTCATTTAAAAAAATACTCTGGGGAAATTATTGTAAAATAATATTACATATACATTACTTTTCACAAGGGAACTTTTGGAATTGTTTAATTTGACAAGTACGAAACAGGGCCAGATCATAACAAAAAAATAAGGAAATGATGGTACAATCGATATTGGAATAAAGAAAGTTGGATGCTATTCTGCTGGACTTTATGCACACGTGCTTGTGTGTGAACATGTGAATATATGTGACTCAGATAAAACAAGAATATAGTTTACACATGCCCTAAATCAACAAACACCATTTTGATTAAAATTGAAGTAAACAGATACAAGGATTACCTCAGGAAAGTTGGTTTCACATGCTCCTGGGTTGGTTTAGCCAATCCTTTTAGACAACCCGGCCGGGATATGCCTCACCACTGTAGTCTCCCCAAAATTTGGGCCCAACTTGCATCGTTTGGAGGCCCAAGTGCCCTTTCCTGTATTTGCGGCAGCTTTTTGGTATATATGGTAATCCTGTCAAAGTTATCAGCGGCATAGACTGGGAAGCATCATAGACCCTTATATTTTGAGTGTTATAAGAGTGTTATAAGGTATGAAAGGCCCTGATACCTGCCTTCTGGCTTCAAATGGGCCTTTTCTTGCAGGTTCATTATTACACGATTCATTAGGGCGGCGATGCAAAAATCTGTGCAAACACATATTTTTGAGGTGCTTTCTTAAATTAGTATTTGCCAACACTCGTAAAATTTTCTCGAGTACAATAGCAATATGAAAAGTCTGTTCTCAATATAGTGTGAGCTTTTTGGTATATATGGTAGTGAAATACTGTCAAAGTTAACAGCGGCATAGACTGGGAAGCATCATAGACCCCTTATATTTTGAGTGTTATAAGGTATGAGAGGCCCTGATACCTGCCTTCTGGCTTCAAATGGGCCTTTTCTTGCAGGTTCATTATTACACGATTCATTAGGGGCGGTGATGCAAAAATCTGTGCAAACACATATTTTTGAGGTGCTTTTTTAAATTAGTATTTGCCAACACTCGGTAAAATTTTCTCTTGACTACAATAGCAATATGAAAAGTCCGTTCTCAATATACCTCAAAGCAGAAAATAGGGGCTTCTCACAGTTTTGTACGAAAAGTGAGATTTAAGATATACTTCATTTTTTTTATTTGTTACGATCCTTATTGTTTGTCATTTCCTTATTCTTATAATCTGCACCTGTTTCACCTATTCAAATGCAAGCTTTTGGGATGGAATTAAAATTCGGTAAATAACAGGATCTTAAAGTGGTGGTACTCACATTGTTATGGTAAACTGGTGGCAGTTTCTTGTTATTTGTTGCAGAATATGATAATCGTGCTCTATAATACATCACTTATTAGAATAATGGTATACAACACAATAGCTCAATAATATAATATTTTTCTAATGAGATTGTAGATCATTCACTTTTGGTATAAGGAGGTCACAATCGCCCTTAGCCATAAGATGTGAAATCCAACAACTTAAAGTGAGTCACATAGTTTGAGAAATTAATGCAAGAAGGAGGTTTGAGCTTGATGCAAATGGCTAAAATATCTTCCGCTTCATATAATTATCAATCCAATAAAAAGTTATTCTATGTATCAATCCTTACATCTCCTACAACCAGTGGAGTGACTGTGAGTTTCGGTATGTTGGGAGATATCATTATTGCCGAAACCTGTTTTGGACTTTGTGCCCTAGCAATAATTCATCTCCAACCTCCTGATTTCATATGTAGCTTTCGATACGATTGTGACTTCCTTATACCATAAGTAAGTAGTCCTATTGTATACATTTCCTTTTGTGATTCATGATTTCTCTAGCTTCCTCACCTGCATACTTTCTAAAGATAGCTCCTTATATGGCAAATGATGCATATCTTCTCTCTCTCTCTCTCTCTCTCCTCTCTCTCTCTCTCTCTCTCTCTCGTCTCGTCTCGTCGTTACGTCGTACGTACGTTACGTAACGTTACGTTACGTTTAACGTT